GGATCCGGACAGGCTCGTATTATCTGCTGACAAGGGTAATTGTGTTGTGGTTATGGACAAAGAGCAATATCACGACAAAGCTTTGTCTCTGCTCAATGACAAGAGTACGTATGCTTTCTTAAACTCTGATCCTACCATTAAAACTCAAAGAAAGTTAAACAAAATGTTGCTTGATTTGAAAAAAGCTGGCAGAATTAGTGACTCTACGTACAAAATGTTATACAGTAGTGACGGCTTATGTCCACGTTTTTATGGCTTACCTAAAATTCATAAACCGGGAATTCCTTTGAGACCCATTGTCTCTTTTGTTAATTCTCCGACTTATGCAATTTCTGGTTATCTTGCGAGAATTTTGTCGCCTGTTGTTGGGAATACTGATTACACTGTCAAAAATTCCTGCGAATTTACGGATTTCATAAGAGATAAAACTCTTGACGCTTGTGAAGAATTAGTATCTTTCGACGTTGTTTCGCTCTTCACTAAAATCCCAGTTGATCTTGCCGTTAAGGTTGCGGAGGAAAGACTCAGAGAAGATGCTTCCCTAGGACAAAGAACTTCTTTGCCTGTGGAGGATATTATTCATCTGCTGTCTTTTTGCCTCAAAACCACGCAATTTACATATAACGGCACATACTATCAACAAGTTTTTGGTACAGCTATGGGTTCGCCTGTTTCTGCTGTCATTGCTAACATGGTAATGGAAGACGTGGAACAAAGGGCCTTAGCCACTTCACCGGTTAAACCCTTTTTCTGGAAACGATATGTCGATGATGTTATTTCTGCGGTATCCGGAAATGAAGCGGAGCGCCTCTTGTCGCATTTGAATTCAGTAGAGCCGTCGATCCAATTCACCCTTGAACGTGAAAAGGATAGACATTTGCCCTTTCTTGATTTAAATGTGTCTAGAGGGGTTCAGGGTAATTTAGAGACAAGTGTCTACCGTAAACCCACCCACACCGACAAATACCTCGCTTTCGATTCTCACCATCCTATTTGCCATAAAAAGTCTGTAGCCAAAACTTTACTTAGGAGGGCTGATTGTCTACCATCATTACTCGATTCGAAGGCTGAGGAGAGGAAATATGTTTCCAATGTCCTAAAGGCAAATGGCTATACAAAAACTTTTCTCCGTAACTGCCAAAAACCAGTTACAAATAGTAACGCTCTTGATGAAAGGGAACCAGCGACTGGTTTTGCTGTTATTCCTTACATACAGGGTGTTACTGAACCCATCAAGAGAATTTTGAATAGCCACAACGTTAAAGTTGCTCAAAAACCTTTTCAGACTTTGGGGCATATTTTCGCCAAACCTAAGGATCCTGTCACGAAAGAACAACGAACCGACGCCATTTATTCTATTCCTTGCAATGACTGTGATAACGAATACATCGGACAGACCAAACGCCAGTTTGGTACACGGTTAAAAGAGCACCAAAAAGCGGTTTTTCTTTGCAAAAAGGAAAATTCAGCTTTATCGGAGCATACTTGCCTAACCAATCATACAATTGGGTGGGATAATTCTAAAATTATCACCACTAATCGGCGTTACCACCAGCGCCTTTGTTTGGAGGCTTGGCACATTAACTCCGCCCACGCTCCTTTAAATCGTGACGATGGCGGTCTGCTTCCTGACGCCTATTTACACCTCGTCAGAAAAAAAGGCCGCTAATTAGTGATCATATAAAAGGACCTCTTGTTGCAGCGTTTAGATCACCCCTGATGAAGGCACTATACAGGAGTGTCGAAACGTTGGGTCTATGAATTGTAACTTCTTCGGTTACATTCATTAAATCTGCAAACCAGTGTAGCTTCAAACTATGTCTTTCTGAAACGTGTTTATTTTCCTTGTATGATTCTTTAACTTATTTTCTACAATCAGTTTATAAAATAATACAAAGATAAAATAATAAAGATTTGAACTGCTGCCCATGGACAAGAAGTGATTATCAACATTGTCTGTGTGCGTACAGCGTTTAAAGTCTGGTTAAACAGTTGTTCTTAGCATAGTTAATAATTAATGTTCTTAGGCAATATTGCCTGATGCGTTATAGTTAAACAAACCCACTAGAGACAAGGGCTCCACGCTGTGGTAGGTCCTATTAGAAGAAATGGCCCATTGTTCCGGGTCAACTTTCCAAACAAAAGTCCTGAGTAATTGGTAGTCCTGAGGGACTTTGGCCGAAGGGAGACGGAAAAGCTAGTAACTGCTCGAGAAAATTATCGGAGTGACAATTTTTCTGCACTGTGGGAGTGGGTAGTGTAAATATGCCCTAGTAAAATCAATCTCCATCGGTGTACCCAGGGGTAGACTTGACCCTAGTTTAATCGAAAGTGACGGTTTTCTGTGGAGAGCCTCGAGGCGATTAAAAACCTTGTTTCTGGCGCACAGCTGTTTTCAAACGAGGCGCTCATCATTTTTAGAACCAGCATGTTTACCTAACACGAGGATCCTTCTTTGCAAAGGCGCCGAATTCGTGTAACTATGTTGATGATACAAGATATACTGATCAAAGCAATGATTTCTAGTTTTTGCGAGAGCATGTATTTGAGTTATTTTCGTTTTCAATCAAACGCGTGGCAAGATGAGGGTGTGATATTTTTTCTCTTACAAGCCTCACAATGAAGAAGGTGCGAGTTTTTTTTATTTATCTTTTGCAAAAAAAAGCAGGTCCTGTTTAAAAGTAAGTCTCTCTCATTAAAAACTATCAGAGTTTTACAGCGGATTTTAACAATCTTTGTAAAAAGTAAGGAGCTGTCAACAGCCTCTTCAAATTTTCGTAGAGAGCAGGCGCTGGCGCACACCTGTTTTCTAACGAAGCGCTTACTTTCTGGAACCAACAAGTCTACCTAAAAAGAGGATTCCTGTTTTACAAAAGCACAGAATTCTTGCAACGATTTTGATGACACAAGATGTACTGATCGAGGAAATTATCTCTAGTTTTTGAGAGGACATCTATTTTGAGTTAGTCTCGTTTTCAGTCAAACGCGCAGCAAGACGAGAGTGTGATATTTTACTCACAAGTCTCACAATGGAGAAGTTGCGAATTTTTTGTTTTTCGTTTGTTCTATATTCTCTTTCGGAGAAAAAAAAGCAGGTCTTGCTTGAGCTTACATAGTTTTAAACGATAAATTTTAATATTAAATTTTAATTCAAAGATGTCTGTTCTTCCAACACATCACCCGCACTGAGTTTAAGACCTTAAATGACCCAGCCCTTTCTTGTAGTTCTGTCTCCACTGCAGCAGCTGTTTAAACTTAGCAGTTCTAACACCCCTGCATCAGCTTTAAAAGAAAATAGGATAACTTTCGTAGCACGAAATTCGATTGCCCTAAAATTTGGTAGATGAATCTGACAGCGTCAGTGATGTTATTGAATACACGTAACCTGTTGAGCGAAAAAAAAAGGAAGAAACTAGCAGAACATTTTGGAACTGAAACTTTTCAGAACAATTTGGAACTGGTAAATGCTCCCAGTTGGCTTGTTAGCTCAATTGGTAGAGCGCTGCACCGGTATCGCAGAGGTCATGGGTTCAAATCCCGTACGGGCCTGAAAATTTTTTTCAGGTCCTACTTACAACTACTAGTTTCAGTAGTGTTCTTAGCTGCGAGGATCTTCTAATTTCAAAATCCCGCTTGTATTTTAAAGCTGTTTCCGCCATTGTTCCAAAGTAGCCATATACGGTCATTGTTAATCGTTAAACAAAGCCTGCTCAACTTTCAGCTGATCCGCTTTTCTTGATACTTGATGAATTATGGTTTTAAAGAAACGTTACAAAATCCTCTCCAAAACGATAAATTTTACGATTAAATTTTAATTCAAAGATGTCTGTTCTTCCAACACATCACCCGCACTGAGTTTAAGACTTTAAATGACCCAGCACTTTCTTTTAGTTTTATCTCCACTGCAGCAGCTGTTTAAACTTAGTAGTTCTAACTTAGTCGTTCTAACACCCCTGCATCAGCTTTAAAAGAACAAGCAAGCTAAACTAAACTTCTCTTCACGCGTTACTGTCTAACCTGCTTTGGTACACTCAGATTATCCAGAGGGTCCTAATGCGGTGGTGGCTCTTACGGCCAACGGTTAAAAAATTTGGCCATGTTACAGCTACCGGTTGTTTGCTTTCCGTTGCGATTCAAAGAAAATTTCCTACAGCTGACTTTTTTCACGACTAACGGTTAAAATTTGTCAATTTTTTCGCCTTACGGCTAAAATCTTGAGATATGTCCAGAAATGCATGCAGCAATGAAAATGGCGAAAATTCCCCAAAATCGTCAAATCCGCCGAGCTGATTTCGCATTGACGAAGTTGACTGAATCGTCAATCCATCAAATCCGACGAAATCGTAAAATCCATCAACATTTACTCGGTTTGACGAAATTTCGTCAAATCTACCATTTTCGTTACTCCGTGCAATACTGGACTTAAATGAAAATCTTTTTCGTGAGACCCTTTTTCATTTCTTCCATCCGATCGTAATCATAAGTACTGCTCAATCGTACGTGGCTCAACCGTTCGGTAATTTTACGAACATGTTAAAGGGACAACTTCACCTGTTTTGCCTATTTTCTTTAAAACCTCTACAATACTTGGCCAAACAAAGGTATCTTAAAGAAGCTTATGGCTTCAATAATCTACTTACTCAACACAGTTCGCGCATTACCTCACCTTTTCATCCTCGATAAATGCCCTTCATGGCCTTAATTGGCCTCAAGCATAATTTCGAGTTTACGACTCGCTAAGTTTTTGGAAAAAAGCTTAGACGATTCTCAGTAACTGTTGATCATATATCATGGCAATTACGTGTCTTACATTCGCTCTCTATATAACACCTGCACTAATTCAAACTCCGCCCTCCTTAAAAATCCTACTCATGTAGACGTGCACAAATTGTCCCACGATTGTCTGAATTCGTTACTCTTTAGAAGGAAAATATACGAGGCAAGCAAGCCCACTTGAATTACGAAAGAAATCACAAGACCATATTTTGTTAATCGTGATCTTTTTTTATTCAAAATTACAGTAAGAAGTAAGTTAACAAAGTAACCTACATCATATAATCATTGAATATCGTTCCGAATAGGGGAGAAGTCATTAAAGCTTTAAGTATACATTTGTTTTTACTTGTTTATAATTTTACACCATACTCTTACTTTTAATAACACAAGGCGGTTCATCATAAATGAGTCACTCTAAAATCTTTCTGCAATAATAAGCGAGAAACCATCTAATTTCTGTCCACTCTTATGGGTGAAAAATTTGGGAAAACACAGATCAAGTTTCTGAAAAGAGGAAATCAGTCCTACTCAATGACGAAAGCTATTTTTAAAATTCAACCATTACAGAAAAACACCTAATGGGAATTATTAATGGAAAGAGCTAAAAACTACAATAAATTTGCTTTGTTTCCACCAGTCCAAAACAAGAGAAACTGCTCTCTAGACAAAAATAACTGCAGGCAGTTTGGCGACGGGTTTGCTGTCCATTTAAGACGTCGCTACGATTTTAGTGTGATATCGTTCACAGGAATCATTGCAAAAAATCCGTTGCTCAAGTTTTCATGCAAGCTTACGAAGTATGTTACGTAACATTATTGAACAGCGGCCTGGTGACAAAACACATCGTAAAATCAAGTAACAAGACATCTAATCGGACGAGAATTAAATGATTGTATAAAACTTGGAACAAATTAAAGATTTATTCCAGTTGTTTAAGATCAAAATGACGAGTCCACCGTTGCTACATCTGTTTGCCTTCACAAGGCCTCAGGATGCTTAGAACGGCGAAAGAAAATTGTGTTTAATTACATCCAACCATCTTGTAACTGCCGAAATGTTAAGAGTTCTCAAAGAGATCTAGTCGATGCTCATGACAGGAGAATTGCTTTTATGTCCCAAATCTGCAAGAAAACACATATTCCACGTCAAAACAACCTGAAGTACCTGGAAACGAAAATCAGTTCTGAGCTTGTACAGAGATATCGAGAAAGAGTAGAGAGTTCAAACAAAGGCATTCAAAAGGAGACGCCAAACTGACCTTAATAATCCTATCACCGCCACAAGTCAGTAATCTTCCTTTACTGAGATCCAAATGTAACGAACGAGTTGTATGTTTTGCGTCGTGAAAATCAGCTAGAGGTTCTCGGCTGAATTGGAGATATAAGAATATCTAAGTTATTTAACGGACATATGGACTCTGTCCCTTAACAGGGTTGTTAATGAGGTTGACAGTTTGTTTTTACTTGACTAAGTTCACTGAGATCAACAGGAAGTTTTTTCTCTCTCTGGGTAAACACAAATTCCAGTTCACAATCAGTGTTGAAACCAGACCGAGCGTTGTTTTTTCTTCCTTAAAACAGCGTAATTCTCACACAAGGGCACGAATCACTCGCTGGCCCTTTTATTTGGACATGGATACATCATAAATCAAAATCTTCGTTACATTAAGAGGATTATCTTAGGTACAGCCTGCAAAGAAAAACCTCCTTTAATCCTTGCCCATTGTGTCCCTAAAATGCCAGTGTATCGAACGATTAATCGGGAAACATGTCATCCAGTCCCTGACGCTAATACAGTTGAACCTGTATTAAGCGGTCACTCACGGGGAATGGTGCTCAATACAGGCTGACCGCTTACGAAAGGCTCCATAGAATAGGAGTATTATGAAAAACGGTAAAAAAACGCCATTTTATGCCACGGTTGACAAAAATTAGACTAACGTTCATTTTGGGAGATAAACATGGATTAAGTTGTACTTGAAAGATTATTTCTTAGTTGTACTTAAGTAGTTCCATTTTAAATGACCATTCAATACGGGCCGGAAGGACAATACAAACAGGCCGTTGGGACTCAGTTAAGGGTGACCACAACCGTTTACGAAAGGTGACCACTTAATAAAGGTGAAAATGACATTAATCAAGAAGGAAAAAAATCGAGGCTTTGAAAACCGACCTATATGTAATAATACAGGTTCGTCTGTAGTTTTACCATTGAAGGGGTTTGACAAGACCATACAGTACACCGAGCATGCTGACAACAACTTATCAGACTTACTCCTCATCTGTGATATCTGCATAACACTCAGTGCAAAAACGGACTGAATTTTCAAAGCCCATGATTGGATAAGACGATTCGTTGTTGCTGCACTCGTTACACACCGCTCTACCACATTTCCGACAATGATGCTGAAAAAAAAAAACTAAACAATATTTCTTTTTCTCGTACATCTTTCCGATCAGTTTAAAGTTAAATTCCCTATATTACGTTGGCCCACAACTGTCACGGCAAAAGAAATAACTCGCGGCAAAAGAAAAAGACTCACGGCAAAGGAGAAAAGACTCACGGCAAAGGAAAAAACCTCACGGCAAAAGAGAAAAGACTCACGACAAGAGGAAGAACCTCGCGGCAAAAGAAAAAGACTCACGACAAGAGGAAGAACCTCGCGGCAAAAGAGAAAAGACTCACGACAAGAGGAAGAACCTCGCGGCAAAATAGAAAAGACTCACGACAAAAGGAAGAACCTCGCGGCAAAAGAAAAAGACTCACGACAAGAGGAAGAACCTCACGGCAAAAGAGAAAAGACTCACGACAAAAGGAAAAAACCTCACGGCAAAAGAGAAAAGACTCACGACAAGAGGAAGAACCTCGCGGCAAAAGAAAAAGACTCACGACAAAAGGAAAAAACCTCACGGCAAAAGAGAAAAGACTCACGACAAGAGGAAGAACCTCGCGGCAAAAGAGAAAAGACTCACGACAAGAGGAAGAACCTCGCGGCAAAAGAGAAAAGACTCACGACAAAAGGAAGAACCTCGCGGCAAAAGAAAAAGACTCACGACAAGAAGAAGAACCTCGCGGCAAAAGAACCGTGAGGTTCTTCCTTTGGTCGTGAGTCTTTTCTTTTGCTGCGAGGTTATTCCTTTGGTCGCGAGGTTATTTCTTTTGCCATGACAGTTGTGGGCCACCGTACTATATGAATATCAAACTTGAAAATTTAAAAAAAAATCCTGCCGTATTTTAATTTTTTTTAATGGATTCATCATAGCAATTATTTTTTCTAAGAAGCCTTAGTGCACGGGTGATAGCAGAGCTAAAAAGAACAGTTACAAAGGTTTTAACGACCAGATTATCAGAGCGACCCAGTAGAAATGTCGAGGGCTACCGCTCACTTCACCTTCATCTTTTGTCAACTCGACGACACCACTTGTCAACTCGCCGACACTAATTTTTGTTACTGGATTTGTTACCAAAGACCAAAGACGACTTTGGGCAAGTTGATTAAAAGTGACTGCGAGTTGGCAGACACCAACGAATCAACACGTTTGTAAAGTGACCGGGTACCATGTCTTAACATTAGCTACTGCTGCAGACTATAGTCCCTCTAGTGACTACTCTCAACGACACAATCGTATTTCACGATTAGCTATTACGCCTTCAACCAAAGACCAAAAAAGTTTCCACATTTCCATTGAGATCGCAACATTCAAGAATAGCACTCCAGTTGTACCCCCGGTAGCTTTACTTTCACCCGCTCTCACCCTGTACTTTTTTATCTAATCGTTTTCTGTAGTTGTACAAAATTGAGTGATTAGAGGTGTTGTAATGAGGTGCAGTTAGTTTCAAATTTTAATTTCCTGGTACCTCCTCAGAAATGGAAAGATGAATGTCATGTATCAACTAATTTTGTTCCAGATTGTGGGTTCAAAGCATTTACTGTTAGTAGGGAATTATTATCATACCTGCCTGACACCGACTGCTTTTTGGCTCCACATTCCTTTAAAGTTCCAAAAGAAAGGACCTCCGCATCTCTCACAGACATCGCTTTGTGACCATTCTGGAGTCTACCAAGAGTTAAATAACAAATGTCAAAATGGAACGAGAAATCCTCATTGGCATCCTTCCTTTGTAACAAATTGATTTGATACATGAATATTAAATGATTCTAACTCAAATAAAAGCACTTGTATACCTAAATCGGCAATATTCATTACGTTCAATAAAAACAAAATCAACCAACTGACCAACCCCAATACATGGACTCAAACCTGGATGAAATTTAGGGGTGATGGAGCTTGCATTTCAAAACTCAGAAAATTTGCACCATCCATTTTATATTAAGCTTTTACACCCTCACATCAGTCTGTATATTCTCCACACTGTTCTCTATACATTTCCTAAAGTACTGATAAGGAGAATTAGTTCAACGATCAAAAGCTTCCTTAAATGGTGATCATTTCCTCTATTCTAGTGACCTAAATATGTGATTCAGGGGTGATATTGTAGCTGAGAAATTAAATGCTAGTTACTCTAAGGAGGTTAAAGAGTATATAAAAGAGAGAAAAGTACATGGAAAGGAGTGTCTGTGCCAGAAAGTGATCTGTGGGATTTAAGTTTCTTGCAACAAACAATGACTCCCGTAAGGGCTTAGTCCACATTTGGTCTCTTACTAACAATAAATCAACCAACTGACTGACTTAAAACAGATTAACTAGCTGATGGGCTGATTGGTGAGTGAATACAACTGACTAGCTAACTACTTGTAATTTATTGATCAAATGAACTGCTTGTTGCCAACTTATGCTATGGGTGCTGAGCAAATGTGCATGACAGACACATACAATAAGTTGAACATAAAGACTGATTCATTCATACCTCTTTTCGTTTTACATTCATATCCCAAATCCTAACAACACCATCTTCACTACAGGATATCAACTTCTTTGCATGTGGAGCATAACAAAGGGATTGAACTTTGGTTCTTGAAAAAACAAAATCAAAAACAAAAACAACCAAAAAAACAAACAAATCAACAATATAGTAAAAGACAGTAAAGGTTATCAATGCATAATTTCTTTAACTCTTTCACAGATCTGATTGGATATTCTCCCTCTAAGCTGTCATACTCTTTCTTGTTTGTTCATTCTGAGAATTTGGTGTTACAACAAGATGACAGTGAGCATCTGATGCTTTTCCCTCTTCTCATCACATGTTTGTTACAAGACTTAAAATTGTTTGAAGGAGGTACATGTTTACCAAATGAATTGAAAAGTTAACTTTGATTGTTCAATCTCCTATCATTTGAACAAGGTCATAATGGCACCTTTACAAAAGACACATCGAGTCCAAACAAAACAGCGCTTTCCATAATTGGTAAATGTATCAGCATGTATTACCTCTCTCTTGGAATTCCAAAGACTTGGTAGTAAAAATGACAAAATTTTTCCATGAAGATATGAAGAAATTAGAATTAACCTATGGGCCAGAGTAGTTCAATCTAAAAGAATTTGTAAAAAAGTAAACCTTACATATGTCCATGAAGTTCCAAAGCAGTTCCTTTTTGTCCACCAATGTCCCAAACAATAATAGATTCATCAAAACTACCAGAGAACAACAGTTTTGACTCAGCATCCCAAGCTAGTGATCTTACACTTCCTAAAAACAAAATGGATAATGATATAGAATAATGGAAGGAAAGGAAAATTTTTAAATGGCAATGTGTGGAAGACTCCAGATGAGAGGAGCCTAGTTCTAGCATTGACTGTGGCAGTTTTGAGCAAGAAAATCAGCCCCGAGTCTTTTTCTCTTGCTATAGACACCTGGTTTAATGCTGGGATATACCCAGAATGAGCAGAATCTCATCCAGGAGATGTAGCCTACCTAACTTCATTTTAAAGAAACCATAGGAAGCCCTTGAGGCATGGGCCACCAAAGTTCCTGTTGAAAATTTGCCTTATTTTTTTTCAGAAAAAGCAAATTGTTCAGGAGCCTCCATAGGGTTTTTGCTTTATGTTAGTGCATGCATCAGCGTAATATTTTTCAAGAACATTTTCATGTTTTTGCTTTTTGAGGTCACTAAAAGCCATCAAAAGGCAATGAGCAAGGTTCTTACTATTGCTTGCTGCAGTAAATATCATCAAAATGATTTTCATTGTTATGCTAAGGCTTTAAGTGGAGAGGTGCACCAGCCATAATTTGGCTCTGCCTTTGATTTTCTTCAATTTGCTCCAGTGAAATCTCTCAAAATTTTTACAATTTGTGAAAGTTGTCCAGCCGATCATTCAAAAGCCAAAAAAAAAAGGTGTTACAAAGGCAGTTTCCCCACTTTTTGCAATTTTGTGTTTTCTTCCTCCATCTCAAATTTGGTCTTATTAATTTTTTTTTATCAACAGGTAATATGTTTAATGGTCCTGAAAATCTTAGAAAGTTCCACCAAAGGAAATGTGATAGATCTTACTCAAAAGATCCCTATTTTCTTTGTTGCCAAACATTACATAATAGAATAGAACTTCACCAAGATCAGTATCTGTTCATGCATAGACTTTTGAATCTGTCGCCTTCTGGCAATCTTTCCCACTGTGTTTTCTTTTCAGTTGACCTCTTTTTCAGAAGAAAGCCTATGAATATTACAGGTGAAGTTTGTGGAAACCCTGGATTCCATCACAAAAAGAACTGTATTGTGTTGAACTGTTTTCAACACACCTTTTCAGGTAATGATCATGCAATTGTATCAAGGTGCTATGTTTGTTTTGCATGTTGACACTTAAAAAGCTTGTGCTATGTTCGCAGTCAGATCTTGTGCAGACAAAAAAGCTTATGGAGCCTCCTTAACCCTTTAATCCCTAAGAGTGACAACTTTCTAATTTCTCCTTACAATATCACCCCTGAATAAAAGGTTTAAGTTGTGAGAATAAAGGAAATGATCAGCAACTAACAAAGCTCTTGATGGTTTTACAAATTCTCCCTGTTGGAACCTAGGAAATGTATAGAGAACTGTATGGAGAATATGCATAATGTTAAGGTGTAATGGGTTCAGTTCTTGAAATTGTGTTGTAGGCTCATGTGCTTTTTACTTTACACATGACCCAGAAAGATTTCAGTGGTTAATTTTAAATTCAGTGTAAAAAGTTTCTAAGAGTCCTCAAAACAGCACAGGACACAAGCTAAATCACCTGTGCCAAACCATGAGTGCCATGGACGTAACTTGCCTGAGTGGCCATTGAGTGTTGTCACTAGTGATAGTGAACTTGACTCCAGTTTTATAACGCTAATGTGGCCACCATAGTCTCCCACAAAGACATGCTTGGATTCAGCATCAAATCTGAAACGTGTTAAGGAAGACTGCAGTGTTGCAGATGCTCATTTTAAGACAGCTACATCAGGGTTTGAGTATCTTGGAGGTCTAACATAACCTTTTTCTAGAAGGTAATTTGTAATCTATAGTTGTAAGTTACTGTAATCCTCTCAGGGTTCAACAGCAAGAGACTAGAGTATAGTAACAGGAGAATGTTCTCTGTGTCTGATAACCCTACCTCTACAAGGATTAAAATATAAATTATCCAAACTGATTGCTTTACATTTCTCAATTTTAAATGAAAGAATTTGGTGTTCAATCAAGGAATATTCCCTGGGTTAAATTTTTCTTACTTCTCCTAACCTTTCTGCTTGAAGTGTGTTCATATTGTGATGAGAAATGCATTTTTGGTCATTCCTGAGGCTAAAAGGGTTTATAAATAGTTCAGGGAATTAAGATATAACCAGATTATACTGCCTAGCAGCCACAGAATTCTCTGATCTCCAATGTCTGATAAGTATACAGGGAGAACATGTGTACATTCAAAAGCTCCTTTTTTTGACAATCATTTCCTTTGTTTCCATGAGCTCAATGTTTAAGTCAGACTTAAGGGTTAACCTTCAACTCCAACAAGTGACCAAGACAATTTCTCCTTACAATATGATTACAATTTGAAACAAGTGAGTGATGAGAATAATGAAAGATATGAATTGGTGGATTATCAGTTGATCCAATACTAAATTATCAGGACCAACACTGTAAGAATTATATGGCAGACAGTAAGGAGAATTACTAATGAGATCTTGGGAGTGAATGGGTTCAGCCATTAACATTTTGATTGCTAAGGATACTGCAATGATGTGCACCAAGCTTCAGTTTGAAATCCTCCTAATCTTTTGCCCGTTGTGCAGTCATGCCACTGTAAATATTTATCTCTTCCTACACTGAGCAGCCATTCATTCTCCAGTGAAAACACAATTCCTGTCAATCTGTTCATGTGTGCTAAACAAAAATAAATATAAAATGTAGGTCTTTTACTAAAGCTCATTTATGTAGCTACATACCACCCAAGCCCATAGGATTTAGAACATGAAGCCACTCAGCACATTGCTAGCTCCTCTCCTTCCCCCTGACTTACATTAATTTTTTAGCTGTTGTATGATTGCTGCAGTTGATCAAGCTATACTGTGCAAGTAAGTGATATCAAAGGGCAGCATCATCTAGAAAAGGATCACTCTGAGCAGATCTGGTTAGAGCCCTGAGTTTTGTTTGAACAAATTAATGCCAAGAAGGTGCCAATAATTAAGAAACAATGTCACATTCCAGGATGACTGTTTAACTTCCACAACCCACTAGAATGTGAAAAACAGACTTTGGAACAAACTTTTGCATGGTTTGTATGGAAACTTAAAGAAATTGATTATAAATGTATCCTTTCATCCTTTTCTTTTCAACAAAAGTTGAAAAGTCATAATTTCAGTACATGCAAATATCCAAAGCAACCATCCACCGATCTTTTTGTGACATTGTGCACTTACCTAAATACTTCCTACTAGCATGAAGTCTGTTAAAATCCTCAGACACTTCAAACTCCTATTCAGAGGTAACACACAAATCTTCAATTTTTTTCTTCTGGAATAATTGGCATATACACAACTATGCACTCTAAAGAAAGTCTTTCTTGCCAAAATGCTGTACTTGATGGATATTATGTTTGGTTAACGAAACATTTTGTGCCAGAATTTAATTTTAGCCACTTCGAGTTTAGAATCAACTCTCTGAATCTCAATTTATGACTACGATTTTGACGAAAGTTCAAAGGGGAAGTTTTCCAACACTCTTCCATCCAGGTAGCAGCCCTAGATATACTAAGGATTTTCACAATAGTGGATGTACTGTTGATCATTATCGGCCTGAGCCAAACATGATTCATATGCACTTACAGAAATTGCTCCATCGTCCAGTCCTACGAACAATCTCCTACTTGTTCCATGATAATCTAAGGCGGAACATTCGGCTAAAAAAGAAATTAACTGAATACTTGAAACCAGATTTCACCAAAATATAAAATGCATGTAAATCTCTATCAACAAGAACTTTCATAACGAGCAACCCACTCATACTTAGCTAGTCAATTCAGTAAGTTTAAAAGATTTTCAGCAAACATTAACAAGGGAGTAGATGTCTTCGAGCGAAAAGGCTATGAACTTATCTCTGAAATATACAAAGGAAATGAAAAGAACGCTCTCTGGAGATACATGGAGGAAAGTCAAGCAAGTAGATGTGAGATACAATTTATCCATACTTACACTCCATTACATGGCAAACGCTTGGCCAATATTGCCCACTCTCTCGTTTGATCCAAAGCCTTATACTCCTGGAAGAGAAACAAAGCACATGAAATTAACCTTCGACCTAAACTGAACTTACATGGGATACGATTTACGATCAAAACAATCGAAAATTGCACAACTCTTCAAAGATCGATCGATAAGCAGCTTCCACTCACTTATCGTCAGAAACACTGATTACTGCATCTTCGTGTGGAATAGTAACGGCCATATTTACTACACCACTGCATCCTTCCAGCTTATTCACCAATACAGCTTTGATATGCTTCCCTTTGGGCCTAGAGGAGTCTTCCTCTGGATCTTTAATAGTCGCCGCCATTTCAGCTTGCTTGAGAGATACGAAAGTTTTCCCAACATGCAACAGACTAGATTTGTACCGGAAGTGATCTGATTAAAAAATGACGTCAAAAGTCCAAAACGGCCTCGAACCTCATTGACAATTTTAGAATGCTTATCAAATAATGATGGTGGCTAAAATTAAGTCCTCGAAGACTCTCTAGTGCACGGTAGTGTCAAAAAAAAAAAACCGTTCAAATTGTATTTTAGCTCACCGTCGTGATACCTATTAGGTTTGAGGCGAGACAGATTTTAATGAGCTTGAACATGGTTTAATCACAAATAATATTCTTAATGAACAAATCAAGTTCTGTTAAAGCAGTGCTGATCGTTCAAGGTATTCTAAGTAACGCTACAGAGCAGTATAATGTGCAATAGACGTTGCGTGAGTGACAGCGTGACTGCAAATGTGACCCAAAAAAAAAGTAATAATAATAATTTGCAAGCATGGTCAACTGAGAATCCCAGCTGACTAAGCAGAGCCTGCAGTACAAGCATCTGTTCAAGATGGTGAGTATTTCCTACATTACCACTCGATCGAAGTTATCACTTCTTTCCTTTAAGCGTTTTTGACAAAGTACTTAAAAAGGAGGTTAACCTCTCTGCAATATTTTAGTTTCAGTTTATGCTGCTTTTCAGCCGTCAAGGTAAACTTCGACTGCAGAAATGGTACACGGCCTCTAGTCAGAAGGAGAAGAAAAAGATCACACGGGATTTGATCACGACTGTTCTTGCTCGGAAACCGAAGATGTGCAGTTTCCTTGAGTATAAGGATCTAAAAGTTGTATACAAAAGGTAGTTTAGGGCAGTTAGGATATTCTTATACGAGAAACTAAATGTTTGAAATGTGTCCATTCCATGTCTAGTGACTTGAAACTTAGGCACGTCTGGTTATGGTCAGACAAAGACAGGTGATTGATTGGTGTTCTTTTTAATGCCCCGGCTAAACGATCAAACATTTTCGATGGACATCGTGTTTGATGTACATCGTGGGGTGGCTAAACAATCGAAAATTTGCCAAGGGTTTGATCAGAATGTGATCACAATGTTGGATGAAAAGTTTTAATGCGAGGCTCAGAAAGACGGCTAGACAAGTCAAACATGCTCTTCTATCATGAAGTTGAACGAAAACTTTTGATCGCTTAGCGGAGCTTTAGGATTCCTTTGTTGAATTTGTACATGAAGAACAACTTTACACTCTTCGCGTATCATGCATGTGTATATATGATAACAACTGTACTGCGAAACACCTATACTCTTTCAAATACTTTCTAAACGTAGGAGTTTCTTGCTACACCCTCGTTAGAAAATTGGATGATGAATTGAAAAATTTTGTGTTATCGTTTGAAGTGAAATGATTTATCGTATAATTACTTGTTAACTAAGCGAATGAAGATATTGATCCCAAATGAATATGTTTAATTCTAAGATTCTGTTTCCTTGTATTGCACAGATACGCCAGCTTATATTTCTGTGTAGCAATAGAGAAAGATGATAATGAACTTCTCACACTGGAGATAATCCACAGATATGTTGAGCTTCTGGACAAATATTTTGGAAGTGTAAGTACAGTAATCACAAATTTCACTGTGACTAAATCAAGAAAACCTTATGTGATTATTTGTTTTTTGGGTTTGTTGATATTGAGCATAAGTTTATGTCATTCATGTGTTGATTTTGTTTACCGAAAGGTTTGTGAGCTGGATATCATTTTTAATTTTGAGAAGGCTTATTTTATGTTGGATGAACTGATTCTTGGAGGAGAGATCCAAGAAACAAGCAAGAAAAATGTCCTGAAAGCAATATCAGCCCAAGATCTTCTTCAGGAGGTAGGTTGAAACCTTCTTTTTTGATAAAAAGTTACAAAGCTGGTTTCAGAAACTTGCTGCATTGATTTAAAAGGAAAGCTTCCTTGTTTTCAGTGTTCTTTTTATTATTCTAAAACCAAAGCCAGAGTTATGTAATGACCATTCAAAACAAATACAAATATCAAAAGGAGCTGACAAGAATTCAAAATATTTAAACAGAAAAGGCCTTAGTCTGGAAAAATATGGGTTTTTTAATAATTGGTTTTTTGATTTTTGTATAAAGTGATTGGTTGCTGTGACTCAACTTTATAGGCCAATCAGAGAGTACAGGGAAGCACAGGCAATGACACATTGCAAATCACTTTTGATACTTGACTTGAAATTGCCATGTCAGCAAAAGTATACACTGTTTGCAAACAGTAAGAAATTTTTTAGTAGTGTTGTTATCCTCTAAGTCATCTCCATTCTGATCAGGTGATATTTTATGCTGTATGTTGGTTGTCTTCTTTGTTCAGTTTTTATAACTGTACCATGTGTTTAGCAACAGGTAAACCTCAGGAGCTTACATAATCCTTTTTTTAAGGCTTGTCTTCTTTAAATTCTACTATTTTAGTCACCAGTGACATCCTATTAAATCTATTCATGTCTGCATTATGTCACTTTGTTGTATATTGTGAGATAGTTCAACTGTTTTAAATGTGGTGGTACTATTAACCAGATTAGTGTTGAAAAAATGAATAACCTAAAACTGCTCAAGTTGATTTCCAACTGAAATAAAAGCTTTCATACATAAGCATTTTTTGTAGTGATATGTGTGCTGCAAATATAGAATTTTTACTCAACTTTGTTGTGAGAAAATTGTTAATACTAACAAATAGATACAATATAATTTGATTTGACTTCTTAAATTGCCCTTAATTTTGTTCAAACATTTTAACATTTTAAAGCAACACAATGAAATAATGGTAAAAGAAATAAGGTAAAAGTAAATAATAAAATGTGTGGCTTACATCATTAAATAAACCTTTGATTGCAAAATCTCTTTTTGTTAAGTTACTTTAACAAGTTTTTTTTCATTGTCACATTTCAGACCTTCTGTGTTTTCACCTAGACACCAGTCTTTTTTTTTTTGTCTTCAACAATGTCAACATATAGATTCTCAAAACCACACTTCATGTCCTATACCCAATCTTGTAAGGGAGAATGTAGATATAACTGAATCATGAAATGGGTAGTGTTTAGTAATGAGTTTCTTCTTATCATCACTTACCTGAGGAGGCCATTTAAAATATTTGGTAAAATTTTCAACCATCAAAGAAATCCTCTTCTTTATCAACACAACATTTGGAATGGGCAAAGGCCCATCAGGTGATGTGAAGGCCTGTGGATGAAGATGTCCATGTTTGTGTTCTGAGCAGGCTCATTGTTTTTTATTCCTGAACAAGACAATCTATATTCTCCCAGTCCCAGTGCCTTTCTCCACCCAGGAGTCATGAGTTTGAAAAAGGTATCAGTGAATTATCAGGGAAACCTGATAAAATTCTGAGGGAAACTAATCATGGACTAGCATTCCATCCAGGGGATGGGGTAATACCCTTATTTTTTTATGTTGCAGAAATTGAGGTGAACTATAACAACGAGGTGTTTTAGTCTTTGCATGCCGAAATACTTTGATTTCACATAGTGCCAGCAGATAGTGTCACTTTCCTACAGACATCTTTATACCTTTGATATCTTTGCTAATCCTTTCCTCTGAGCTTCCACTTTGCCTTGCTTTCATACTTTTTCCACAGGAAGCAGAACTGCGCAGTGCTTTGGAGGAAATGGGTCTTGCCTGAGTTCTTTCATCTGTAAAATCTCTACCTCTGATACTTTTGTTCTACAGGAAGGTGAACTCCAGCGCACGCTGGAAGAAATGGGTTTGGTCTGAACTGTCTTCTCTGCTGCTTATTCAGCATCTGGTCTAACTATCTTCACTTCCACGAATTCTTTTATTACCATGATGGTGTGCCAGTCACAACAGAAGATGCTATGTATCATGTTTAAACCATAGTTTACAGTCCAATATTATTTATAACCGTATATTAGTCAAATTGTACTCTAAAATTACATTGTAAAACTAACATTTTGTTTAAAAGGTTCTATATCAGTTTCTTTGGTCTAAATGTACAGCATATTTCTTCTTTGAATATTAATTAGTTATAATCTAGAAGTTTTCAATCAAATATAGTTTGAAGTATTTTTTTTAATGTCTCATGTTTCCTCTTTGCCTTTGTAATGAATACACCATTCTAGGAACTGCCATAACTGCATTCTAAATGTACCTCAAAGTTTTTTTTTTTCCTTTGCTCTAGAGTGCTTTTCTCTTAGACTAAAATCATCTTAAATTTATAGAGTTGAAACTAATATAAAATGCAGAGTTAGAGATATTATTTAATTGACATGAAATATCAATTAATAGCAGGTTACTAAAATTTGTGTTGTGTTTGATAATAATTACTTATTTATAAAACTTAATATAAGCCTCTTGACTCTTTAACTCCCAAGATCTGAATTAAATTCTCCCTTCTTATTGCTACACATTTCCTTGTAAATTAGTCACAAGAATTTCGTGTTAGATCAAAATAACAACTTCTACCTGATGAGTTTGAGTTTTCTCATTACTTGTTTGCTGGATATTGTATGGAGATTATAGGGAGAAGTTACATGCTAATCACTAGTGGGAGTTTAAGGGTTAAGTCACATGGATTGCAAGGTGTATTTTAATGGTCACTTGATTTGTAAGGAATTGTAAAATAAGGCCAGTGAAGAAATGCTTTTCTCCTTATGTAAGGTTTGATAACTCAAAACAAAAACTGACAGACTGATAGTGATTACAGCCTACCAAATAGGATTCTAAAAGTTTGTATTGATGCACTTCTAGCAGTGATTCCTGAAACATTAACCTGCTGTAGTTCATGTGGTTTTGTTTGATCAACAGGAAGGGGAACTTCAACGTACATTGGAGGAAATGGGTCTGTCATGATTGTGCAAGTTACCTGCTGAAGGGAGGGAAGGCTGGTGATATTAGTAATAGCCTCCTTTTCTTGTCCCTGGTAGGGTAGGGGTTTCAGTATTTTGTTTTTCTCAGTACCCTCTTAACCATTGTCAAAAATTTAAAAAACTGTACTGAGTCAAAGGAGTTTGTTGATTGAATGAATGGATGCCATGCACTTTCAAGTTTCATTTATCTGAAATCCTCTAATGCTCTGTATCTCTGCAGTAGGTTTCTTAGTGAGTGGTTGAATTAATCAAACACAATTGTTATTCATAGGCTCGTATGCAACTTAAACGTTGTAAATTTGTTGAAGTATTATTAAAGCTATTAATAAAAAGTTGAAATTGATAGTTCGTTTCATTAGAGAATTCCTCTACAGGTCAATGTTTGTCCTCCTTTTTGAAGCATTCTTAGAAAATACGACATTGTTTCCTCATAGCGGATTACTGGCGGCCTTTTATTAACCAAAGTCTCCAATACTTGGAGAAGTTAGAAGTATTGCTCGGCCTCCTAGATGAGATCCCACTCCATTGCAGGCAACCTCTCCTACTCCACCCACCCACTTACTCGCCCTCCATTCCATCATATTCCACAATGGAGAGCCATAGACCTAATTTAGTAAGCGTGCTTACCCAAAGTCTGTGGACTGTTTCGTGTCAAATTGTAAGTATTCCGTAAAGACTCAGCAACTTTCAAGTATTTCATTGCACTATGTACACTTATGGTATTGCTTGCCTGTTTGTTTATTTCCCTATACAAATAGTATTCTATGATCTCGTGGGAGGGTAGTCCTGTGAAGAATTATTAGCGGAGAAAGTGACCTCTGACGTGTTACAGCTGGAGTGGAAGTCGTATTTCACATGGTTACCTTGATAACGTCCTGATACGCACTCGGTGCTTGAATTTTTCTTCTCAAATATCCAGTAAAGATTAGCGGTAATTGACCTTGTTTCGAAGTACGCTGTAATTTTAGGAGGGAAGAGTTAATCTGATTATTGCTCGAATTAAGGACACGTACGGCCTCTTTTGCGAATGACAGTAAGAAACACGTCTTGTGGAGTTTTCTGTAACCATTGTTTATTTTAGGCTCCTTATGCTGTCAGTCACCTGTTTTCTCCAATTGTTCATGTTATTAATCATCGCTTTCGGTAATTGGCCAGAATAAACACGTGCCCTTGGTGTAAAAACAAATGTTTTAATAGAGAACCATTTGGTCACTTTTCTTAATTACAATGTGACATTTTTAAACCACAGAGCGCTGTTTTCGGAAGCCAGCTATTGCGACTTCAATTGATTTTAAGTAATCTAATTTGATTAATTTAAGGAAAATGGGCAAACAAAGGCTGACATTTTAATTTAAAAATCAAAAGAATTTACTTTGCTTGACAAGAAGAGTCTACCACGTTTTCTAACTGGGGAGCAAGCAGTTCTCGTTAGTTATGAGTCAGGTAAGACTGAATCGCCCGTAAGGCTGACTGAGAAGTGTAACCGAGATCCGTTTACAACTTCAGTATCTATGTATCCATCATCAAGTTGCGTTACACGTTTGAAAACACAATAAGATGACGTAGGAGGCGGTGGTACGGGTCACGAAGGGTTGAGAGTCCCAGAACTGAAGATATGTGGTGTGGGTAAGTGACTTACAAGAACTCCATGATAGATATGACCACTCCACCACCTGTTCCTTACAGCTTCAGATTCATGCAAGCTTAGAACGAAGTTCAAGTCTAGTCTTCATTTATTTGCCGACTCTCTCTATGCCCCAACTAATAAGTTGACGTATTTACGCGAGCGCCGGAAACTTGGAATGCGCGTCATTAGCACAACAAATCCGCGGGAAACCGGATATCATGGGGGTATTTTGCTGAGCAATGTCACGAATGGAAGTGAATGAGGTCACGAAATGAAAAGACAAGAACGAAACGTCTTAAATCTGAAAGGAGCGCTTGTTTGGTTATAACATGCAAAGATCTGGCAATACTATTTAATACTCTGAATAATTTATTCGTATAATATGCATATTTTCTTACAATTTGGGTGATTAAAATATTTCTGCAACATATTGCAGTTAGTCCAAGAGGTAATTTGATACCTTCCAAGGTAGGAGATCAGTCCGATATTTGTTATTTATAATAGTGGTTTGCGTTAATATTTGTTATTTATAATAGTGGTTTGCGTTATAAGGCATCATAGTAGATGTGTCTTGCGTAACATGATTAGCGCCATTAGCAACTCAAATCTGTAAATAAACATTGCCTTATTTGAACAAGTTAGCTCTGGAGACAGAATATTGTGGAGAAAAGCACCTTGAGGGCGATACATGTCAATTAAACCAAATACACCTGCATAGTTTTACGACTTAACAAAGACAAAAATAACCTCGCTTGATTCGGCTCGAGTTCTGCATACTTTACGGGTCGGAACGCATTCAACCTCGGAAAGCATTCAACCTCGGAAAGTAAAATCGTCAAGAACCCGTGTCACCAAAATATGTAAATAATAACTGCTTTTAAGTGGCATACTTCGAAATTATAAAGTTAATATTTTAAGCTTAACGTTTCTTCTTGCCTTTCTTCTTGGCTTGGCGTTGCGACTCACCCGCTTCACGATTTTTGTCCACGTTCAGTGCATGTCCAAGCTCCTTAATGTGTTGGAACATTTTATTTCTTGTCGGAAATGAATCTTGGCAGACGTTGCACTTGAAAGAATTTGCTGCTGGCTCTTTACTCGCTTGTGGCGATTTTTTATTACCTTCTTTAGGCTTTCTTTTCTCTGTAACGGCACCAGTCGTCTGTCTATCGCCCTCAGACTCTTGTGATTCCAAGTTCTCTTTACAGTCTTCCGTTTCTTTATTATCAATATCACTTGTTGTTATCCTGTTTTCGTTTGACAAATTTTGCGTACTATCGTCTTCATGTACGTTTTCCTCGCTCTTTTCATTGCCTGTAGTTTCCTCCACCTCTCGTTCATCTGATTTTGCTTCCATTCTATTGCTCTCTTCGTTGGCGGCTTCCTTCTCTTCATCTCCCCTTTCCAAATCTCCCTCTCCGATTCCTGATAGAGCTCGTTTCCTCTCGTGCAACACCTTTACTTTGTACCGGTTGTTACCTTTAATTCTCATAGTAGACAGATCTACGGAGTCCATCAGATTTAATTCTCCAACACTCACAAAATCTGCGCAAGTTTCGTCGACACTGTGTTGTCTCTTACTCAAATACTCTGACTCTGTTCTGGCATCGTAATCTTCATTTACGCCATTTTCTCCATTGTGTAACGCAAGTTCATCTATATCTTCACTGTCGGCCATTTCTCGTTTGATTGCAGCGACTTTGTCTTTGTGTTTCCGCGACTTCTCGTGGTTAACTAACGCCTTCTCTGTTTTAAATGCTTTATCACAAGCCACACAATAATATTGTTGCACTTCCTCTTCATCTGATTGGCTCTCATTGATGTCATTATCTCTGCCGAATTCACTGTCAAGATGAACATTCATTTGGACCAAGTCCTCCTCCAGTCCGGACAAAGAGGCCCAGCTTTCTTCTTTGTACGCTTCAAACATCTTCTCCCTTTCTCGCAAGGCTTCCAGACGTTTTTGTTTTGTAATTCGTTGCCTTTCCTCGTCTTTTTCCTTTAGTAACTCAAGATATGCTTTGACACGCTTGTCCCTTTTACGAACGAATTTTACCAATGCGCGAACTTCTTCATTTCTCTCTTTTTTTACGGCATCTCGGATTTTCTTGTTGTCTTTTTCCATCAATCTTTGAACCCTTCGATTGGGTGCTTCTCTGAGGTCGTATTTCTCTAACCATACATAAGATTTCAGAGTCGAGTAGCTCTGCCAGTGAGCGTAAAAAGGTTGAACAACTTCTTCATAATCACTCGTGGATGTTCCAAACTCAGGTACCTCCAGATCTTGACCATCCGAAAATTCAGCATCTTCTTTAGTAATAATTTCGAAAACATTGGCATAAACCGCATAAAATCCTTGTGCGTCGTCTCCAAAACCGCAATACACACTGGCACTGAAATACTTCATCAAATTGATACTGTTGTCTACATAGTCATCTCCTCCTCTAATGATTTGTTCGCGATGTTTATCATACCATGCTCGCTCTTGTGGGTCTATAAGCACTTCATAAGCTTGTTGGATCTCTGTGAATACTCGAGTACTTTCCTCGGAGTTGTCAGTATTTTTATCTGGGTGCCATTTGAGAGCAAGTCTTCTGTAAGATTTCTTTATCTCAGCATCACTTGCGTCTCTTTCGACCCCCAATATTTCATAACAACAGCGGGGCATTTCAAAATCGTGGCCCTCCCAGATCGCGGAAATGAAAAAAAAGTCCTCTTCGTAATTATGATTTATATGGGGAGAAAAGATCCCGTAAAAATGAATATTTTCAAAGTGACCTTCTCATACCACGTTTACCGATGATGGCGAATTTAATATGGCGGACAACTGATTGCGCATGCTTACGTGACCGCTGTTTCAAAGATTGACATTGCAAAATCAGTCGCTAAGCAACGGTACGCCAGGAGCTACGGTCAAATTGTCTCAGTCTCTTCATCTGAAGTTATTGCTGTCTCTCTCTTCAGCTCATATTTGATTTTCCTCATCACTGAAAATCAAGATGCATAGATCCTACCAGCCAATTACGCCTGCCAATAACAAGCTTCTAAAGAAAAGATGGGACATGAGTAGCTATAACACGCACAGAAGAAAGGTTTGTTTCAGTTTTGTGCGCGTCCTAAATTATTTCGCGGCACAAACCGCGGTTTGAGTTTATTTGCTTTAATGCCTTTCCTGATGTTTTGTATTATCTCTAGGTTCAGTCTGCCAAAGCAGTTATCGACAACAAACCTCCCCAGACTTATATGCATTTGCATCTAAAGTTAAAGAAGTTACAGGTATTGTGAATGTTTGAATTGAATGGCGCAATAGCGCAGAATCTTTTTTCGTATCATACCAACGTATAGTACATCTAAAGTTGTGTAAACAGACGTAGAGAACTATCTGTCTGATTAGATAGTATATTCAAAAGAGGTTTGTGTTTGGACGATTTTAAGCACAGATTGGGGTGTAGAAGAAATACGTGCAGATGGCCGGATAGTTGCTAATTTTACGGGCGATTAGCGTGTATTGTATTGACAATGAATTGATGTTTGTTGCAAAGTAGTTAAAATTGCGAAAGGAATCGTTGGCTCTAATCGTCCACTCTCTGGTAGAAATTTCATGGCATCCTGCTGTTTAAGATTATTGTACCATTACACCACTTTAGTGCTTTATTTCGCGCAGAATTGTCGAAAATCGCGAAGGTATTTCGATGTTTTCACGCCAGCTGAAACACGACGGGTAAATTTTTGCAGTTTGTTCCTGTTTGTTCAGAGTCAAGTTACTAATTGAAATGATGAACTCACTTCCCCGTGTCATCGAAATAATATGCTCGCGTTAGAATACAGCTTTGTCTTCATTGAATATTGTTTACTGCTTTTGAAATGGAAATTTTGATCGAACAAAGCGAAGTTATGTCCAAAAATGTTGAAATCTCATTAGCACATTTTTCTCAACGCGTCGAGGCACGTAAGAAATTATTTAGCTATGCTAATTTACAAACAAACAATGCTCTTCGTCCTTAAAGGGAAACCTAATTGAACGTGCTTTCAACCCGCGTCTCCAAGGCTCTAAAGATGGAGTCCTGAGAGCAAAAACTTAAGTGAACAAAGCCTGAAGTTCATGCATGAATTGAACGGCGATCAAATTTTGGGAAAAGGAAATGACATTGGAATGAAACAGAGAACAGCAATTTGAGTCCATTTCAGTTATCTCTTGTTTAGAATGTTATACTGCTAAATTTAGTCGATACACACGAATATTTTTGCAGGTGGGATATTTCTGATAAAAAAAATTTGTTTTTGAATATATATCAATTTTCTGAGGCACATTATCAAGTAGTTTCAATCTCCTTGGCAACAGTTCAAGTATTTTTGTTATTTTTTATTAACCTATAACAATGACTAAAATCATTCTTTTTAGGTGGAGGAAGAGAGATTAGCCACTATAGAAAGAGACAATCGTATTCTGCTGGAAAAGATGTCGTTTGTTATGAGGACACGAGGCAGAGTTGACAACAGAAATGATTATGAACACAAGAGTCTGAACAAGACAAAGAGACAGAGAGAACTCCTTAGAGTTACTCATGAAAATCAGGCAAGAAACAATAATGGTTTATGGAAAGGGCTTTAGACCGCAAACAATGCCTTTGATCTTACATTATTTTTGCTGGGTTGCAAAAGAGTTAAGCTAAGGTGTACCCTTTGTCAAGAAAAAGTTGACTCATGAAGAGTAAATTCAATGCCAGATGCTGGTGTTTACAACCTTAACCAAAAATTCCTGGCAACAAGGAAAAGGGGGGGGGATGAGGAGTGAAATTCTCCACATTTATCCACGTTTATCTTTGACTCTCATCTCCCATCCTGTACTGCAAAACCCTACAAGCTTTTTTTTTTATTTTTTTTTCATTTTCATCAAGTTTTCATTGATTTTATTGCTATTTCTGCAGGCTATTTTGAAGAGGATAACTGCAAAAGAACCACATTATAATCATCTTCAATGGGTAAAGAAGAGTAACTCTGTTGTACCATCATTTTTTTATTCTTGTAATCATGTTAAGTAGACAGATACTTCAAACATTTCCACTTCATTTCCCAAACAAGGGCTGGTTATTGAGGCCTTAAAAATGATGACTGCACAGGAAATTGCCTTGAGTGGGTTATTATTCTGAGGAGGGTGGGGTCCCTGGGTAGGCTGTTAAACCCCTAGCTACTGAACTGAGTATTTCTGATCATGCTTTTCAGGAGGATGAATGGCAAATCAATGAAACATATATGGACAATATTTCCAAGTATCCAAAGGATTGGTACAAACAGCTGATGAGCAAGAAGAAACCAAAGGAAGGAGAGAAAACTGAGCGAGCTAAAGGAGACAAGAGACACAGCATATATTCTGTGGAAAGTGGAAAGGAAGGTAAGAACAAACCTGAACCAACTGATAATGATGAAGGTGCAGACGATGGAAACAAAGTTGAAGAAGACAAAGAGGCTGTTAAAGAATAATGGCAGTACTTAATTTATGAATTATGAGAGTGCAATGTTTAAGATTTATTATTTTATAATACCGTTTTAATTGTACAAAAGATTTTTTATCAGACGAGTGTGATAATTTGAATTTTGTTACCTTTGCATTTTTTTTTCTTTTCAAAAAAGCAATTTTCATTTTTCTTACGACTTTAAAAGTCTACACCTCAATATATTTCTTTGCTGTAAGAGGAAATGAAGTAAACTCTTTCCACTTAATGTACAGCAAATATGTAGTTTCTATATGACTGTAAAAAAAAAACCTTTAGTTAGAACCTGCTGAAATACTTTCTGCAGCTTTGAATGAGTGAATTAATTTTCTTTTTAAAGCTGAATTTTTGCAACTTTTTTTAAAGGACAACTAAACTATTTTTCAGAGTGTGACAATGAAGCCTGAGGCTGACATGAAATAAAGTGTGAACAATCCCAAAGCTTGCATGAATTTATTTCATTATATTTTTTTACTTTGATTAATGTGAAGCCCCAAAAGTTTGAATTTGGTTAGAATTACTTACACTGAGTAACTGTTTGAAAAAAAAAAATTTAAGAACCAAGTGAGGGTAGCCAATTTTGTCTGAAATTGTGTCATAATGTGAAAACTGGGCAGCACGTCCTTTTTGAGAATTCCAAAGAGTACCACACCTAAATTCCCACCCAGGAGCAGGAAATGTCCTAACAGCTTCAAGACACAGAAACCAAGGATACACACTAATTGTTATTACTGCCCTAAATTGCCCCTAGAAATTAGAGTCCAGAAGAGAATTTTTTTGTGATCTGAACCTGATTTGTCTTCTCTAGACAAAAGTGGTAAAGGTGGAAATGCTCTAAGCTTAGACATGAAATGTCAGAAAAGCATTCAACATTGGCTCTTTTGTTTCCCTTTACATTGAACACACCAACATGCTGATGAGTTGCATGAAGCGGTTTGTATTCAACAACACATACCATCATTGCTAAAATCATTGCTGGTTAAACAGTGCAAAACAGAATTCTGTATTTATTTAATAAGATTTCCCACATCTAACCCCTCAAGTCATAAGTCGGCAAATTATGTACAAAATTTAGGAAACTTACAATAAGTGAGCACATTTCAAGAAATTTGCGCAAACAACATCCTGAAAATACTCGGAAGACTGTTTTACCTGCTTTCTCAGTGTAACTAGGTAATATAACATGCTGTAGCATCAATGTTCAGTCAAAAATCTCTGCTGATACTGAAAGAAAATTTTAGAAGAACCTCCTTTAAAACCTTCACTAGGCACTTGTTATGGGCTATGAATTACTCTCTTTTTCATAATACATGTGTTTATCAATGCCACTCCAATTTTGTCATGGGCAAGAAGACTTACTTGCCTTAACAAATGGCAAACATTGGGCAGACCAACAATCTGAAGTATTTAAAAAGGTGCATTACTGTACATTTCACTGACATGCAAACTAAACACAATTGGAGAGGCAACATAGAAAAAACCCTCTTACACAGATATCAATCACATTATTGACAATCATAATGACAAGTACTACTACTTCTGGCTGAGTGGACAACACTGGGTAGTCCTTTGTCTGAATACTCTTTTTTTATTATCAGTTAACAGTCATATAACATAACCTTTAAATGCATCATGTCCACCAGAAAACTCAACAAATGTACATCTTAAACAAGACAAGGCATAAAAAGTATTTTATACACAGAGTTAAGTATGTCATAAAATTACATTTTATATACAACAATTTGCTGCTAGACTTTGTAAAATGAACAATTCAGGAACTTCCATGAGTTTTTTTAAGACAACATTTGATGATTTGAGGAAAATGATCGATTCATCTTTTACATGCTGCCAGGTAATTCTGTCTTTGATGCTTGTCTTGGTTTTTTAGCAGGAGATACATGACACTGAAAATAAAATGAATTCCCCAGTTCAGAATGGTGTTTATTGATTAACTAAAATGGGACTGAAAATTAAATACAAAAAGGGATATAATTACGTTACTGAAAATATCAAATTTTTTATTTCATTCTTAATTAACAGGCACAATTTGTATGTTGAATACTAGAGATGTCTGCATACCCACAGAATTGTTCATTGTAACCTCTGCAACTTGACAATGCATGATAGGAAAAAAAATGTTTCCTACATTCAGAATGCCAATCCAAAGACAACCCCTTTGGTAATATGCACAATTCATCATTAACATGTATAAAGTTACTCTACATTGAAAAAATATGCATAAAACATTTCACAGAACTGTTACCTTTTCCCATCTCTCTAACATTTTTGCATACTCTGCTTCATAAAACCTGAACACTTCCTCACAGTCCTGCAAAGAGAATTTATAAGTAACTTAGAATAGAATTAAAAATTTTTGTGTTATGTTTGAAAAACTGTAACACTTAGCATGTTAACAAGGCTGTAACAATTTAAATTTGGACATATTTTTAAGAGGTATTCCAGAAACACTAATAGAATAGAGGGTTTCTTCCATGTTTACATGACCTCTAATCAATGAATCACTACGATAGTCGAGAGAATTCTTGCAACTTCTGCAAACCTGACACAGTAACTGTTACCAGTTTGCATAAATGTCCTGAGTTCTCCCTTCCTTCCTAAGTTTAGATAAGTCTATGCAATCACGGAAAAAGTCCTCTTTTGCCTGAAATAAGACAGAAATCAACTGACCTGTCGGACATGATGGCCAGGAGGGTTGTATTTTAAACAGTTTGACTTCACCAGCAGCATATCAGAATGAAATTCACTGTACTCCTGGTATTTCCCAGACTAGAAAAACACAACCATATATTATTATACCATCAGTAATCAATTCAAAGCTTCAACATCCTTCCCCCCCCTCTAAGCAACCCACAGGCATTTGACCATTGTCTGTGCCTAGTGGGGGGTGGTTCAAACCATTTACTTACCACTTAAGTATGAAATTAAACATAATAACATTTATTTAAACTGTTGTCTTCTAATGAAAAAATGTGTATAAACATTTTATATTCAAATATTTGACCACTTTCAGAATGGCAGCAGAAGTTTTGACAGAAAGAATAGCTGTCATGAGCCAATCAGATATAATCATGCAAAAAAAGTCTTGCAACAGACAGCAGGTAATGGTACTAACCTCTAGTTTCACTCTAACCGTTCCAAAATCCATGGGAGTTTTTATTACTTTGTAGTAGCCAGGTGCATCAACTGGGTCCACTAAAAAAATAACAACAACAACAACAACATCAACAACACAGCTAAGTCACAATGTACAGTAGATTGATTCATAAGAGGGATGTATGACAAAAAGGCATTCAGATGCTGATAATAATACCATAGGAAAACATGTCAATTTCAATCATTATATAAACATTAATAGATCTTATCATTATATGATTAACAAAGCTGAAGGATGAACAGAAGCAAGTTGATGAGAAAAAACATTTAAGAAGACAAATACAATTCACTGTACGAAGGATGCAACTAAAAATTCATTACATCACAAGTTTCCATAACCCATCCAAACTTGGCCCTGTCCAAAAGTGTATTCCTTCATCATTTGCATGTGATTTTTGCAAAGAACAAATGATTCATTTGGGATCTCTTTTTTAGCCGAGTTAATTTATTACTTATTGTCAGTCTACTTTACCCGGTTTGAGGAACCAAGTGGCAGCACTGAAATCACCTTTCCGTCTTCCTTGGCCACGATAGCTGGCAACTTTCTGCAGGACGCTGAGGAAATGTCACCATAGCTTTATCAGGATCAGTCAATATCTAATGAAACACTCAGTAACTACAATATGACCAATGGCTAATTCATCATGCACAAAACCATCTCAAAAGCAGTGATGACTCTGAAAGCACCTTGGATGACAAAATTTGACCAATATCGCAAGATCATGATAGAGTAAAAAATTGTTAGAATAAATTATTTTTATAGATAAATTACTCAAATAAGGGTTTCAGTAACCTTTTCCATAAGCAGCTGCCAATGGTGTAGTAGGCAGCTGTACTTGGCAAAGAGGCCATACGGCAAAACCAAAATATGAGAGCCTGCTTGCCGGCTAAATAGATGGTGGTACCTGTAAGAGGTCTCAGAGGCACTGGTAGACAGCCAGTAACCATCTTTCTTGGAAATCCCCACTTAAGATAATGTTTAAGGGAGCTCTGTCATCATTTATTTTGGGTCATTTTTCTTTTAAAATTGTCTTCAGAAGGAAAGGAGAAGCTAAAGAAATGCAAATGAGCTAGGAAGTAGTTAACAGAGAAAGCTGAGGGAGCAGATGATGGATTACAGATGAGATTTTAAAACACTACTGTAGCATGCTTCTTTTTCCTACTTTGTAGATTACCAAATCATCATGGAACTCCCTTGAACATATGATTATTTATAGTCTATGTGACTAACAGATCCACCTGAAAAAAATTAACAAACCTGAGAGCACCACGCACCCAGCCACTAATTTGTCTTGGTGGTGACACATCAAGGGATGAAGGAGGTTTTCTCTTCCTTCCACTGGTTCTAACACTACCAAAAGCCTCAAGAGCTTTCATTTCCTTCTCTGTAAGCTCCAATGTGCTTTCAGGGATACTGTTAGAACTACTTGTGGATGTTGACAAAACATCAATGGGTGCGTCAGAAACATCCCAACTATCATCTTCAGATTGTGACAAAACACTCAGGCTTTGTCCTTCATCAATGATCTTTCCAGAGTGTGACACAGTAGGTGATGGTTCAGTTGCGTCTTTTGTTTTTTCCTCCAATGTAAATGCACTGGGAACAAGAATGGGGGTTTCCTGACTAGAAGATGGTAATTCACTTAAAAATCCTGATGAATCATCAAGCTGATGATCATTTGTTGTTGTATGTTTTACTTCTTCATGTTTTTCAAATGAACTTCCTTCCATGCTTTCCACAAAGCTTGCAATTATTTGAAGGGCATTTTCCACAGGAGGCCCATCCTCTGCAGATGTCCCAGTCACATTCTGATCATCTTCCTGAACACCTTGAAGTGATGACTGAATGTCTGACTCCAAGTCAAATTTAAAAGAATTCTCATCCTCATTATCCACTTGTGAAGACTCTGAATATATATTTCCAGGTAAACAATCTTTTACTAAATCAGATATTCCACTAGAATCATCCAATCTTTGAACAGTAACATTTTCCATGGATTTCTTAGCGTAATTTCCTGCTGTCTCTATGTCTTTAGTTGGTACTTTCTGCACATTTGATCCATCTATATCCAGGAGAGAGACTCCACCATCTTGTAAAGATACTGGATCTACAGCTGCTTCTTGGCAGTCTTCCACAGTTTGTGGCATTTCCTCAGCACCATTATCTACTGGATTTTTAACAGGTGTGCTTTCAGCAATATTTTTGAAAAACTCCGTAGCTGATGGTACCTCAGGTATGTTGCAGCCTGCATTGTCAATTGTTTCAGAACAGATTAGAAGAGAATCATCCTCTGATGACGTATTGTTATCACATTCAGTCACAACGTTTTTTTCATTTGTCACTGCCAATTTGGAGCTCACTGCAACATGTGTCTTAGAGTTTTCCACTATGTCTGAACATTGCGATTCAATGGTTGCATTACTCTGATCTGTAGAATCAAGACCACAATCTTGTCTTTCTGGTACTCCAGGGGAGGGCTGCTCCCCTTCTTTGTCAGGAGGCAAAACTGAAGCTGCTACACCCTGAGAGACAGCTGTATTTACAGCTATTGGCACTGAAGACTGCAGCTGCGATGCAGTGTGAGCAGTTACTCCAGTAGCCACAGGAACCAGAACAGTTGGAATAACAGCTGGAACATTCTTAACTGGTGCTGGTAAGATAGTTGGAAGCTTCCTAATGTTGCCCGAATTGGAAACAGCAGTTGGAGCCACAGTTGATGGTTTTGGAGGAGCAGGAAGAATAGTAGGGAGGGGTCTTGATCTCACCTGTGTAGTGACAGTTGCAGTTGTCAGACTGGGTGCGATCTGTGTTGGAGATGATTTAGGACAGACAGTGGCTAATGCTGGTGATGTTTTGGCGTCTTTCTTGGAAACAGGTTGAGAGTGAGAGGCTGATGAGGAAGTCAGAGGGATCCCTAATAAAATATCAGAGAAGGCAATGAATAACAGAAAAAACCACACTTACCAACCATTAATTACATATATCTATTACAGAAGGCTACATGATTCAATGCTTTGGCTAAGAAGGCTGAAACAATCCCTGTGGAGGGGGCACAGCTGAGTGACTAAAACAATTATACTTACCTTGTGTCTTGGTTATCACTAGCCCCTGAGAGGATGTGGATGGAACGATATTGGAACCAGGTTGTAAAGGGGCTGGCACAGACAGAACCACTCTCTTTGCACCACCTACTAAGGTTGTCATAACAACTGTTTTGGATGCTGACGAAACTGACTGAGTAACAGCACTAGACACTTGAGTTTTTGATGGAGCTTGGGATGTGACTGTGCCAGCAGTTGTGACTACTGCTTTGTTCACTGAGGTGCTTTGAGTTACCACCTATTAATACAGCATACATAAAAAACGTACATTATATCACATATTGGTTAGACTAACATGGCTGCTGTAGCCATTTTCCATGAGGTGAAACCACTAAGAGTATTAATATTCCACTTGTATGAAATACCCTTCCATTCCAAGTTATACACCCAGCATTTTGTGAGGTCTCCTGGGAGTTCCCTTGGTATAAATTTAATTTAACCTTTGGTCCAGAAAGCCACAGTGAGGGTAAAGTATCCTACCCAAGAACACAACACTGTGACCCAGCCAAGGCTTGCACCCAGAACTTTCAACCTTTCAACCCATCCAGCAGGGCCCTACTTTCTCCCATCAAAGAGCAAAATTATCAGAGAGTATAAATTTAATATAAATTCAAATTATAATCTGGGTTAAATTCATACAGTAGAACCTCAAAACAGGAAAAAGGAAATCATGTTCGACTGACAAGGAAGCAGATCTGAAGGGAAAATCTTACCAGTGTGGATGCTTACAGGTGTACATTGTATGAGTGAGTACCACACAAATTATCTCATTTTCATTAAGCTGCAGCTATTATCATGTGTTGTCACTGCTTTGAAGATGATCCTTCCTTGTTTGTTGAAATGTTCTTATTGTAAATGTTGGGCCGGTGAGAAAAAATTGTAAATAAGACTATTTATTACTTACCTGAGAAGTTGCCTTTGTAAGACTAGAAGGACTACTGCTTCCAGGAACCACACCAGCGACAGTTGTTTTACTGAGACCTGTTGTCATGACAACAACAGGTTTACTCCCACCAACACCTCCAGTTCCTGGAACATGAATGACACGGACAACTGGCTGTGTGTTTGACACAGGTAAGGTAGAGGAGGCTTGAGAACTAGGACTGGGTGTTACCATAGTAACTGTGGAACAGGTTCCCATAGTAGCTGGTGTGACTGACTTGAACTTCACAGTTCCTGGAAGAGGTTTGAATCTGGCAGCCGCAGGTTTCACTTTGTGTCTTGCTGCTAACTGAGCTGCTGTCAAACCAGTTTTAAGTGTCAGTCCAGCAGGACTCGCAGTGGCTACTGGACTTGAAGCTCCTGTTGAGACATTCTTCACTGCAGTGGACAATGGAGCTTTTGAAGTAAGCACTGTCTTGGGAGGCACTCCAGATGCAGTTTTTGTTTGAGTCTTTGGTGATGACTGTGTCACAGCTGTTTGGACCTTTGCAGGTGATGATGTTGTCGATGTCATTGCCTTATAGCTCAGGATTGTCTTGGTTTGGGATACTGCCACTGTCTTGGTGAGAAGTTTTACTTGTGCTGCTGATGCAGGAAGATTTGTGGTACGTGGGACAGCTTTGATTGTCCCTGCTGGACCAAGAGATTTACCAGACTTAGTCATAGTGCTCACTGATGTGGTCTGTTTGGTGAAAGCTTTTGACACCAGGGAGGGGGTGGGGATGGTCACTTTTGTAACTGGCTTGTTGAGGCTCGTCACACTTAAACGTCTTTTTCTCTTTGGCTTTCCATCATCATCATCATAAGCATCAGCATCATTTGATGGAGTTCCACCTATAGAAAAAAATAAAATGATTAATTTTAAAAACAGTCTAGTGGCCTCCTCCACATCCATGAAGTTCCACCTATGGAATGAAATAAATACACTTAATTTGAAAAACAATCAGTTGGCATCTCTACATCCACCAACAATACTTCCAGAGGTGATTAGAATCTAGGCATGTATCAGAATATCATGACATCATCTGGCAAACAGGTCATGGGAACGGCTATAGATGTACCTATCAGCTAGAGTATATATCCTAATATATCTCCCAAATCTCTTAACCCTTAAACTCCTGGAAGTGATGAACATGCAACTTCTCCCAATAATATACATACCTTATTTAGTAAACAGGTAATGAGAATACTCAAATTAATCAGGTAGAAGTTGTTATATTGATGGGTAACACCAAATTCTGGTAAACAATTTACAAGGAAATATGTATCAGCTTAAGGCAAAAATTAACAATCAGATCTTGGATAGGAATTGTACAGCAGATCTTGGATACCTGTCTGAGGTTGTTTTACGGCTGCCGTGGTCTTACTATTTTGCTGGCTTGTCAGTGAAGATGATGTGTTAACAGATGCACTTGAACTACTACCAGCTTTATTAGCTAAAACAGAAAAATGAAAACCATACAACTCAATGAATTCAGTAAAGCAGATCATCAGAATCTGAACCTGATATGGCAATAAAAGTTATTTGATACCCAATATATGTGCAAACATTGTATTTACAACTGAATAAATCTGAATTTAAGCTCTCTGCCGTGAGTAAAGTAGCAAGAAATAATTTACGAACAACAGTGATCAGAAGAGGAGGACATAGAGTAATTGATTATAGAATGAGTTTCCTTTTTCATTTGAGATTTTTGGTTCCAGATGGCAATGTTTTCACAATTTTGTCATTGATTGTAACTGACCAGGCTAAAGCCATGACAGTGATCACACTTTTAGATAGAAATCAACAATATTCTGGGAATGACAAAATAAATCAAAATTCTTATTGTTTGGGTTTCTCTTAAAAACTTTGTTTTGGATGACTTTAGTAGACTGTGCTTGGTTTAAAATCAGAGTAGATTAACCCCCTACATTACCTGATGAAACAGGAAGTTTAGCATTTGCTGCAGCTGCAGAATTTGCAGCAGCAGTTGCTGAGGAGCTGAACACTGTTTGTGGAACAAGGCGTGGCATGAGTGGTACAAGCCTTCTCCCCTCTGCTGCCCATTCTGCACAGCTGCCTGCACCATAAATACTAGAACAGTATAAGAGAGAAAAGTGTCTAGATTGTTGGTAAAACAGTAGGTGTTGGACATCTATTAAAAATTGTCAAAGGAACTTGATTCTGTAACAGATCAGACAACAATAAGGATGACAGACTAATAGTCTGTTACTGCTAGAATTTGGCCATGAGTGATTAAGAGTATTGTTTCTCCTCTTCAACAAGATGTTGTCCATCGCAGAATACCGTCTGCAATTTGTCAGGTTTTGCTAACAGTTTACCAACATCCCTTTATACTCCAGGGTGAAGAGATTCACTGAAAGAGTTGAGTGTCTTGCCCTAAAAAAACTTATTTTTGTGAACTATCTGCCTATTTGTCCTACCTGTAAGGATAGCAACTCATGACAGAATTACTTATTTTGATACAATGTGCCTAATTATTTCTGTACCTCTCAGCCACAATGCCAAGTCTATCATCACTGTAGGCTCTTCGGACTTCAGCCCTGTGACGCTCAGTTGAAATACTGTTGGAAAAAAAAAAGATCTTCACATAAGTTTTAAACAATACAATTAACTTTGCAGTGGTTAACTATATGTAAGAAATGTAGAGAAAATTGCAATATAGCTTTTCAAACCATTACCTCAGCTGAGTTCCAAGATCTTGCAAGATCTTCTTTTTAGCCCTGTTAATATTCAGTCAATGATGGATTTCAATATGGAGAAAAAGGCAAAGGTGTAGACTATATTTACAAGACTATAAAAAAAAATAACAGCTTATTTTAAGGTAATTTGGTATATTGAAATTAAGGATGGAATGAATGAAAGGCTACTCTATTGTTCAAGGTAAGTTATTCATAGCAGTCAAACCCTTTCACTCTCGATGATACCAATCAGAAATCTCTCCTAACAATACCATTACATTACTAAGCAGAATTGTCAGAAGAAGAGACCCAAAAGATAAAAAAGGAGCCATTGTTTAACTCACACCAAATTCTCAAAGCTGAAAAAATTAGAAATGCATGGCAGACATAGTGTATGATTGATTTAATTCAAATCTAAAAGGTTTATGACCTAGTGGCTTCACAGTTTCAGCATTTCCCCAAAAAGATCTCTGAATCCTGACTCCACAATTTTTGACATTACAACTATTTATTGCTAAAACATAACTTCCACACTCACCGACTTAACTCTCCCTGGGCCCTGAAAGCACTGATAATGGATGAATATGCCTCTAGCTCTGAAAATAAGTATTCAAGTCGTTTCAGTATAGTCTGACTTGTCAAGCATCATACAAATGTGCAGGAAAGATATAAAGTAAAATCCAAAAATACAAATTCAGCTTACCAAGCCTCCTGAGAATCCGCTTGGCTTCATCTCGACTAACATCCATCATTTCTGCACACATTTCCTTTACAAAATCTTGACCATCCCTATCAAGCATGAAATTTGACCAAGAGAAATATAAATCTTAAATCTCCTGACCCCTTTTAAAAATAATGTTTTCAATCAAATAAAGTCCAAGCAAAATCGAAAGAACTCTTGATCTTCTAAAGATACGAAAGTAGCACAGAAGAAAACCTTTCTCCAGTCTACAGCTGATCACAAAAGTTCAGAAATTACGCTATCTTAAATAACGTTTGAGTAGAAAAATCAGTATTATTCCAAGTTTAATTCCAATACCAACAGCACGTGCAAATATCAAAATTTGAAGCATCGATAATTGCACTCATCCGCGTGTTGCTCACTTCCCCTCGGTATTACAAATAATGTGAACAAAGCAATGAAGATCAGCTGTCTTCTTCGACTTAGAAGAAGGTTTTCGCAAAAACAAAACTCAACTTTTTAAGACCTTTAAAGCCAAAATTCTCGAAATTTCTAGTGTTTCTGTTATCAATAATTCTACTTGGAAGAATCAAACAATAAAGGGTTAAATTCCGAGCCTGATATAAGAGCTCCAAGTTACAGGTTAATAACCTTCACTCCACATCTTCGATGGCTGGTTTCTGGCCCGCGGGTGAATCAAATTTGAATAGAATTCGTTTGAAACATTGCAACGAAGCACAATGAGGGTAAAATGACGTGAAATCACAATATCATTTAACAACCGTAGAAGTAAAGTGACAGATGGTGACATTACCTAGAAATAAGGCGTTACTACCATTGGCAATCAACGAAAGCAAACCGTCCGCCATATTGATTCATCACATGTTATTACGCGTGCGTTATTGTTATTTACAAAGGCATTTTCCTTGCGGGCTCAGCGTCGACTTAAAGGAGCTGTCAAGTTTATCCTTCTAAGGCTTTCTTAGGCGAACGAAGCATTCGAGAAGATTTAGTGGTTCGACTGAGCCCAGACATAACTCGACGCTGCTTTTAAGGTAAGAAATTTATCAAGTAGATGATATGGTTCTTATCCACCGAACAATGCCTTCCGATGATGAAACAGTTCAAGTCTCCGTGCACACATATGAAATTGTTTTTATTATTTTTCCATGACCAGGCACAAAATCAGAAGAGGTTCAAGAAAGCTATTCCCTGTAATTTTAGTGGCTTTATATGTGATAAAAGAAATTGAAGCTCTGTGAGGGTTCTAAGTATAAATCCAGGTCAACAGTACATAAGTTTTTGATTTTAATTTTGTGAGCAAGAATACAGTTGATCGGGTTTTGCCAATGAAATGTCTGGATTTCATGAGGGCGTCTCATGCATACTTGCATACAATTTAATAATGCACACACCTTCTGCTATTATTACTCTTATATCAATGCTTACTTGGAATCTTCAGGGTAAAAAATTCCTAACACTATTTCTACCCATTTTTTGGTCATGTCATTTGCCATTCGTCAGCAATATTCAATGTCTCTCTTCAACAGACATTGTACGTTTGTCATAAATTATGCATGCAGCCTTATTTGTGTTGGTAAATCTAGGTCTATTCTTGGATTCCTCGGTGCGTAGGTGGCAACCTCAAACATTTTGATAATATGATGTTGCTTCTTCAAAGAAGATCAAAGTATTTTTCCTCTTGGAGATTGGAAGATTTGGAGGAACTAAACTTAGATACTTAATTGTGACAATTACGAGAACTTGACTTTTTTTCTGCTAAAAGGTTTCATCACCCAATCAAATTCAAATTTCTTCACAGCATTAGTTGGGTAAATATGTACAGAAGTGATTTAATTATTTGTATAAATCACGTAATAGGTTTTAATTTATTGATTTATCAGCCAATTCAAGTTAAATGACAACTGAGCAGAGCTAGAAGATTTTAAATGTAACACATACTTTCTTTTTTTCAACCCAGTGGAGCCCATAATTTATATCAGCCATTTTGAATTAAAGAATCCATAAACAATGCAAGAAACTGGTGTAAAGATTAGAAAACTGTAATCACAAATACTTTTGGTGTGTTTCATTTAAATATACAGGTGTATATAACCTACATAAAAAAAAGACAAAAGCTTTGCTGGAATTCAAAACATTTTTTATCAAAGCAGTTAATTGTTCAATGACTGTTGCTTACTTTCGGAAGTCTGTTTTTAAGAGTGATTTCAACAGCTTTCAGTGATAAGGATGGATTTTATTTAATTTAAAATAAATCATTTTTTCAATAGCTTTACAATAAATGCAATTGCTAAAAAGAGCCTCCTATAATTAAGTGCAACATTATGAGTACTGTTTTTCAATAGATGGTATCTTTTCTTTGAAGCTTTCCATCAGTTTTCCATGAGTAAAGTTTAGGAAAACTGGGGATATTTTATTAATTCTGCAATATGCAGGAATAAACATTTTCAACCAGCTGCTCTTGGCAGAAAATTTCAACTTTAAACCATTCTCCTTGAGGGGTTAATCAACAAGAAAGTTTGTTTCTTTTTCTGAAGTGACTGCAGAATTCTTTCTTACCTCAAAAATGAATGCAACAATTGAAAATTCCCTGAATTTAGCCCAGTTTTAACAGGTGTGTGTCTGGTCTTTTGACATGATCTCGCAAACTATCAAGGATGAAATCACAGAGAAATAAAAGATTAAATGAGCTTAATAGAGGCAGAGCATATTGGTTTAATTAGCTCTAAAAACTTTCCCAGATTAGGTATGTTTCAAAAATTATTTTATGAAATTATCACTTATTAGGTATTTTGAGAATGTGATCTTTAGAACTTTTTTTGAGTGGAAATTATCTTTTTATGTCCTTTTCAAAAGTTATCTTCTATCATTTAACACTCTGATTACATCTTGCTCTTGAAGAAATTGTAAACTAAAGATAGAGATGAGTTCTCTTTCTCTTAATGTTTTGATGTGTGTCACTGTTGTGATTATTGCTGTCATGATTGTGCGATGTCTTGACATGATATGAGCCCCTGGTAGTGTGTTCCCTCATACAAACAAAGTATTTGATGGATCCATTCATTTTCAGGTTCCATATGTGTGCACATTATACGCATATGTGATGGGGAATTCTTCTTCCTCGTCATCATCAGCGCCAAAGCACAGCTGTCAGGTGGTGATAGTAGGCGGTGGTTATGCTGGAGTGAAGCTTGCGATAGACTTGGACAGCTACTGCAAGGTCGTTCTCATTGATCCTAAAGATGCTTTCCATCACAACATGGCAGGATTACGGTGTATTGTTGAACCAGCATTTGTCAACAAGACTCTGATTCCTTATGAAGGTGTTTTAAAGCATGGGTCCTTTGTAAAGAATCGTGTAGTGAGTTGCAACATCTCCAGAAAGGCTGTGACACTGGCTAGCAGTGAAGAAATCAGTTATGATTATCTTGTCTTTGCTTGTGGCTCATCTGTACCATTTCCAGGTAAAGTGTATTTAAGCATGTTGGTCCTGATTTCCATTATAAATGGCCATAACTCATCAAACATTTTTAGAAATTTCAGTTATGTTCACATTTTTGTTGTTAGTTCGTTAGTATTGCATATTTGATTCAACAAAGTATGATATCTTTGTCTACTAATTCTTTAGGAGAACACCAAAGTTCATTTGTTTTGTACATCTTAACAATCACAATAAAGGAAGTGCTAAAATATTTTCCCTCCACTTTTTACAGGTAAGGTTCCCCTTGGAACAAGCATGAAAGATGCTGAAAAGCTCTACAGAGATTGCGCCGACCAGGTATGCTTCAGAACCTAAAACTTCATGATACTCTTTTATGGTTCTGTTCCAAAAGAGTGCGATGAAACTGTCACCCTGTGTCTATTTGAAATTTTGAAGTATGGGTGGCCTGTATTTATAAAGTAGCTTATTCAAGATTAACTGTATGCACTTAAGATGTGACAGTAATTTAAAACACAAGTAATGGCATTTAATAAGGCAATAACAGTGGGTGTAATTACCTCTTCAATACTTAGGTCTTAATTTTGTTATTTAACAGTCAATACCATGGTGAAAAACAGTAAATTAATTTTTGACGGTGCATCAAGGAAGGTGTGAGAGAAGGGAGCCACTTTATCTTGTTTGTGCATTTTCAGGTGGCAAAGAGTAACAAGATTGTTGTGATTGGTGGTGGTCCTGTGGGAGTAGAATTAGTTGGTGAATTAGCGTCAGACTTCCCAGACAAGAAAGTTACACTAATGCACAACAGGGAGCAAATACTGGATGACAGATTGTCACGCAAGTTTGTTAAAAAGATTCAGGATGGAATGAAGGCTCTGAAAGTGGAGACAGTCCTTGGGGAACGAGTTGACATGGATGACCTGAATGTGAGTTGAGTTGCAAAAACTATCATTTTGGAAACTTTTGGCCAAATATGTTTCTAGAGGAATTTGTCAATGTCTCTGTATATTCCTACTACTTCTGGTGCTTGATTTTTACACTCCCCTCAGCTCTACTATAATTGAGTTTTAGTTACTTTTTACTGAAAACTTTATGAAAATGATTTTCATTTACAGTTTGATTCAGACAAACCATGGATTACAGGGCCAGTGACACTTACTACCGACCAGGGAACCAGTGTGCCTGCAGATCTAGTATTCCGCTGTACCGGACTCAAGGTCAATTCAGTTGCTTACCAATCCAAACTCTCAGACAAGATGGAAAAGAATGGAAGTCTTAAAGTTGACAGATTCCTTCAAGTGGAAGAGATTGAAAATGTGTTTGCTATTGGAGATTGTAACAACACCCCTGAATTGAAACTAGCGTACACTGCAAAACTGCATGCTGGTAAGCTTGATCTTTAAAAAAAAATGGTAATAAATGATAACTAAATGATGATCATACAGATTTTGTTTTCTAGTTAAAACTTTAAGGATTTGTTGTTGTAAACAGTATTAATGTTTAAGATGACCATTTTGGAGACCTTGTAATTTACCTTAAATATGTCTTAAAATGGGTAACTATCTCTGATTGATTTTGATGGAAATGTTAAAAAGTAATCAAGGGAGGGACATTTCGCATGCGAAATTGATCATGACACTCCCACTCCTAAAGGAAACCTATTTAGCAGGTTTTGTGACTGTCATCAGTATTTATCACAACTTACTTTTTATTGGTATTTTGTCTACAGATGCAGTTGCTGAAAATATCAAACGGCTCAATGAAAGCAAACGCCCAAAAGAATACAAGCCTGGTAATGCAGCCATGGCCCTGCCTCTTGGACGGAATGGAGGAGCAACACAGCTCCCAAATGGAATGGTGGCTGGGAGTTTCTTAACCAAGTCATTCAAAGGGAAGGACATCATGACACCAAGCTTCTGGAAGTTAATGAAACAGAAAATGCCATCTAATTGAATGGCTGAACTTTCAGTGAACTATTATGGACACTTGAAATAAAAAGACCCCTGCATGACTTGATCACAGCCTTGTGGATCATGAAAGGTTGCTATGGTATGCAATAATTTAGAAGGCACTAGCATTTCTGTGCAAAATTTTAGCTAAGTTTGAAAGTTTGACGTTTGTTACAAATTTGTATGCATGAAGTCATCTAGCAACTTTTTTTCTTCCTAGCAAATGCTGTTAATTGTATCACTAAATTGATAGAAAAATCTTGCATTTAAATATGAGACTTCAAAATTGGAGGTCTTACTGATTCATCAACCTCTTTTCATTTTGTGCTGTTTTGTACCTCAACTATTTTCCATGATTGACTGGGTCATATGATCAAGTCATGCAAAAGTCTCAACTCTGTACATTTGATGTTAATAGTGATATCAGTTGCTAAAGGGCATGAGTGACGCCACTTGTGCCTTTAAGACAAAGTTATAGTAGTGATATTGGTTTGTAAAGGGTGTGAGTGACACCACCTCTGCCTTAGACAGAAAGTTACAGCAGTAGTGAAATGAAGCATGTCCCCAACTTCACAAAAGGCTACAATCAGCAGTGAAGTTGTTCATGCATGGACATTTTCACCCCCACTTTATGTTATTTGTATTCCTTTTGACCTTAGTACCATAATCTATTTGCCCCCCTCCCCCTCCAAACCTTACTGCCTGTGACCTTCTGCTAAAAAAAGCAATGCTGAATAGGAGGTGACTATTTTAACAATGACTTGGTACAAATATCTGTATTCTGTGATGATGCCTGTAGTGTATTATTCAGGCACAAAGCGTCCACTAATTTTGTTTTGGATTGCGGCCTCAAACATAATCCATGTTACTGTTAAGAGCAGACATTTTAGGAACTGTTGGTGGTCCTGTTTTAATAATGAACTGCACAGTGTGATTTATAAGCTAAGCACTTGTTAATATTAAATGGGAAGGCACCTTTTATTTATTTTGAATAGCTAGAGCCCGCACATAGTAATATTTATTTTTTACTATTTTTGAGTGCTTTTCACTTTAGTGCGGTAAAACAGAAAAAAACATATTTAATTGCAATGGCCAGTTAGAAGGAAAACAAATGTCTCCAGGAACTGATGGAAAAATCTGATTAAGAGAATGTTAATGCCTTCTATTCATAAAAATGCAAGTGAGAAAGAGGCAGTTGGTTTTAGTTCTGCTTCTGAAGGGTTGAGAGGATTGTGCTAGTTTTGTCAGATCACAAATGACTTAGTCATTTTTACGGTTTCTTTTTACCCTAAATTGAAAATTCCTCAAGTTATTTATTGTCAAATTTCTTCTTCTTAGTGAGACACAGTTACTTGATGTTCAGTGCGTTGGACTTAAGATCCGAAGGGGTCTGGGTATGTGTCCTAGTTATCAGAAGTAGCTGAAGTAGATTTTCCCATGGGGTAGGGGGTAGGGAAGTGGGCAGGGACTGTACAGAAGTTTTTATTTGCAAAGAATTGAATCCTGATAGAAGTAATAAACGATTCTGTAAATGCAACCCACTGATTACCTTAAGATCTAATTGTAAGATGTTATTTCTGGGCATCCTAGTAGAATCCTGATAGAGGTAATAAACGATTCTGTACATGTAACCCGCTGATTGCCTCAAGCTGTAATTTCTGGGCATGCTAGTGCATTTGTAGATCATTGCCAACCCTTTCTTTCCATCTTAAGGAGCTGCTACTCAAAGTATCGTGAATTTTCACTTCCACTTTGAATGTTGTTAAACCTGAACGTAATCTCAATGGCCAACTGGAACAAAAGAAGATATTTAATTCTGTGCCACAAATGTCATTAGCCCTCTGTTCAACTGTTCTTCATCCGAAGCATGTTTAACTCTCTTGTTGGGCTATATTCAAGCTACATACGTTGCTTTATAAATGCGCTTTAGCTCGGCAGAGAATCTGGGTGAGAAATCAGAGGCTGAGAGGTTCGAAGCGTTCGAGTATGGCCGGTTCCCGATTAGTGTTCGTCTTCTGATTGGTTTAGAAGGTGGCGTAGTTTTTCGAAACCAATATCAGAGCAAAGTGATAAATGTAATAAAAGCAAAATCAATGCAATCCTAGAATGCTTTCGACACTCAACTAGAACACGCTTTGTGTAAACGGAAGACGGAGAGTCTACTATGTTATGTACTGCTGGGATGTAGTGATCACGAGTAAAAAGAATTGAATATCGTGAAAACTCAATATAAAGTGTGTTTCCTCTAAATTATCTCCCAACAAAGGCTTTGTTATTTAAGCACTGAAGATTGACAAAGCCTTGGACTCATACCTCAAAAGGGTGGTTGAACCTCGCACGAAAAACCGTCAAAGTACACAAAAAAACTGCCAGCCGCGCAGGTCACCTTTTTGCGAAAAGTTCTTCCTACTGACTTTCGACGCGGGCTGCTTTTTGACGTCACGGTGTGTAACAAGAAAGAAAACATTTTATCATTCAGTCAATCATTTATGAAATCAGTCAGAACATTGATCAAATAGAACAGTATTTTCATTTTCAGTGACTGACGTCGCCTTGATCACTTAGATTTAAAGTGTTCCTTATCTGAACGGAGGAAAGATGCTGAAAAATTGTTAGGCTTCTGGAACCACGACTGGAAAAATAGGGTTATTCTCAAGAAATCAATACTTCAGTGGAAAATTCATCAAAGAATAAACACCCTGTCTTTGAATTTGTGGAATATATTTTTTACGCAAATTTTTAGGTATTTTTTGTTTCTTCCGGTTCCTCGTGGGCATATATATCACATAAACATGTCAAACCTTGTCCAGCTAATTCATTTTCCTAGAAATAGATAGTCAAGTTTACTTACTGGCTAAAATTGGAACATTCCTATCTCCTTGACTCAGTTCATGGTTATCCTAATATCAGACTTTGCAATATGTTATGTGTGATGAATGTTGTTTAGTTGAAGGATGCGGATAGATTGGAGCTGTACACCAAACCCGTGCGCTTAATTACATTTTGTTTACCTAAAAAATTCAAAGAGTTTAACCAGCCGCAAGTGAGGTGAATCGTTTTCCTTTTAGAATTAATTGAAATATGATCCATGAAATGACAGCATGAGGACTTGCAAATAAATAATGAAAACTTTCATTGGCGATCTTTCCATCTACATACAACTTACAAGTTTGTCTGCAAGTCATTTGCGTCAAAGTGGTAAAGAAGTACAGCAATAAGTTGCCGTTTTGAACTGTGATACTAACTGTTTCATTGAACCCATTCATATATCAGACAGCAACTGGCCTTTTTCTCTTCAGGTAAGTCGAGATCAATATGAATTTAGAGCAAAAATAACACTGCAGGGTAATACTCAGAAATGAAGGAATGCATCATAGAGCAGTATGCAGAACTTGGGACGTGTTTTCTTCCTTTTATTACCAGCGTTCTTCTATATAGCAGGTGGTTTTCATAGCTGTTTCGTGGTAGAAATGCGACTCTCTTTTAAAAACCAATTTTCGTGGCCGTGTACGGTTAAATGTGTTACAAAGGGAAATCCCAACCAAAGGGAGTTTATTTCACACATAAAGCTGTCTTTGAACTCGTTTTGAATTTGTCGTTTGGGATATGAAATGCATGTAAAACCAAAATGTAGGGACGATGTATGCAAGATGTCTTCTACACAAACCAGAATCAGTTTTGTGCCCCTTACAGTAAGTATCTAGTGAACAGTGGTGCAGTTTTTTTGTGTAATTCTTGCTTGTGAAGAGAATCTATTATAATTTTCAATTAAATACTTGTGATAAGTATAGAGACAGATGCATTTTCGGTCACAATTTTTTGTATTTCCGCAAAATTCTATTGCGACCTTTCAAAACAAGGTAATATCATAAAGCAGGTTTTAATTTTTTGAAGTTGCAAATGACGAAAATGTACAATTAATGTCTGAAAACAGAGCAAGTTTCTCCTGATCTAATCATACCAATAAGATCCAATAATTGAGGCCGTGGTCATCTTACTGACGTAAATGTTTAATCTTCAAAAAAGACAGGCACTGAAGATATATCAAATTTACATATAGATTAATGTTCCATTGTCGAGGGTGTGTATTAAAAAAGAGCAGCTTTGTAGAATCAGTTGCTTTCTCTTTTAGTAGGCTCCGAAGCGATGGCAGTGGAAATCCTTAGTTTCTCTGATTTTAAATGGAAGATGGGGAGACTATTCTACTGAAATTGGTGGAAAAAAAAAGAAAAAAGACATTACAAGGGATAAAAATCAGAAGAGAGAGGACTAACATACCGCTGAATCTGACCGGTTAGTGTAGAATCTCGTGTATTTGGAATCAAAAGCGAATTCAATGTTATTTTGGTCGTTTGTAGGTATCGCATCCATCCAACGTTATTGGAAATGGCTCTGGAAGAAAACTGCTTCGTTATATTCTGTTTTTGCCTGTTTTTACGAACAATATTCGCCGGTGAGCAATATTGCCGAACTATGCAATCAGTTTCAAACCGCGCACTAGAAGGTCACGTGATAGCCGTGTTAGTAACTTCGTCTGTTGAAAAGTGCCAAGCAAAGTGTGAGAGACACCTAGACTGCTACAGTACAAATTACTTGTTTTCCACAAAATCTTGTGAGCTGAACAAGGGCACCAGATTGTCGCATCCTGAAAACCTCTTACCGCGAGAAAACGCGGTGTATTTTGACAATCTTTATCGCCTCTATCACGCATGCGTGCACCCTCCGTGCCAAAATGGTGGCAAATGCGTATTACGGACGCAAAATCCTGGTTACGAGTGTCAGTGCCCACCAAAGTACAGTGGAAATAACTGCCAAGGTAAGACAAAAATCATGCTATCAAGTAAAACTATCATTACGTCGAATCACAAGTAACTCAAACTACATCCATTTTCAACCGATTTTCAAAATACCGGGGATATCCTCGATTTTGCTTAAATTCTTTCTCTGATCGGTCCAGAAAAAAAAAACTCATAACCGATCACATGGATAACTACAACCTGGATCGCGGTTTTGTTCCGACTCTTCAGTCTCAGTCAGTTTTCTTTTTTTACGTTGAGTTCTTCGTGACCTCTTTGACTTTCTTAGTTCAGATCAGCCACTGCCAGTGGTCACTTCACGGTTTTATGATTGTGAATCAAATGCGTTAAAAGGCGAACCAGATTTGTGTCAATATCTCTTTAACCAGATACGGACTCTGATATTGACTGAAATCTGTTGCGGGAGCACTACCGTGTGCATATGGACGTTTACTGAGAAAAAAAGTTTGATTTTTTTTTCTGCTTTGTCATAGATTGCGATGGTGATGCACTGGGTATTTATGACAAATTACACAACTTTACAATATCTGCATCATCGTCTGAACCCGACAGCCCACCAGCCAGCGGTCGTATTTATAAGCCTGGAGGATGGCGAGCGTTAAGAAACGATTCGGATCCATATTTGGAGGTAGGTTTTAAACAAAGTAATTATTTCACTGGTTATTGGTGTGAGCTATATATTTCAAACCAGGTAATCATTACTCCTTTCTTCGTTTGATTTAAAATATTAATAGGTGAATAAATGAAATAAAGAAACTGAAAAGGCGGGGATAGTCTCGTACCCAGACCTTCCACGGCCAACTCGGTGTCTTAGTTAAATGTATAGACTTCTTTTATAAATAGCAAGCCAGTTATAGTTCTTTTTTTTTTTTTTTCACTTTTATTAGCCTTCTTGCCTCGTCAACGTGTGTGAACAAGTTATAATTTTAACTAAAAAATATGTTGATATAATGACAGCAAATTACATATCTTGTATTTCCTTTGTAAAGATTAGATTTTCTGTTGTGAAGCTCATAACAGCAGTAGCCACGCAGGGCTGGAAAGATGCAAAAAACCTAGTGCCAGACTGCTGGGTGAAACGATATTTTCTTGAATACAGTGAAGATCAAAATATTTGGAAAATACATAAAGATGGCACGAGTAGGAGGGTAGGAATTTTAGTGTTCATACATAATCACTCTCATGGAAGCTCATTTCCAACCAGTTAAATTAGTCAAGTTAATCATAGGTCGAGGAAGATTTTTTAGCTTTATTTTTTTTCGCTTAAAACATGTCTAACGTGCCTTAGACATATGAAGTAGTTTACTGCAGTGAATAACTTAAGCTTTATCGATTACTATGAGCAGTTAACATTCTGATTGAGTTAGAATCGCTTACAAGTTGATCAAAGGCGGAGGAAATACCGGCTTGCGTAACTGATGACTTTTTTTTTGCGCTTTGAGGTGTTGAGGGGTAAAACCGAGAGAGCATGCCACGAAATCGCGACAAGTTTGGCACGAAATCATGAGAGGCGGAATGGATTCGCTGCCAATATTCGAAGCTCTGTTTCCTTCGCTTTGCATCTAGCGCTAAAAAAACGCCAGATAGGCAGGCTAGAAAGATGTAATCGTCTGGACAATTTTCTTTGAACTGGAAAGTAGTTGTGTCGTAAGATTTTTTACGACCACAACCAAACTGGTGATCCGTTGCCTATATCACGCGAAATACTCAGGAATATATTTTCGACTCTTAATAATTGTTTTCCCTTTATTGAAAAGGTTTTCCTAGGAAACAACAACGCAAATGGCCATGTGAAGAACCTAATTAGCAAACCATTCCGATGTATAGCGTTAAGAATTCGCCCCATTGGTTGGGAACAACGACCAGCCATGCGCACTGAATTATATGGGTGCGATGTCTTTGGCTCATAGAAAATCACGAGAAAGCATCATCAGTTCCCAGGCTCTGGGACGAGCGAAATTTCAAGATTCCCACATATGCACACGCGAATTTGAGTAACTCAGTTCTTCTACTGTTTAGTCATTAACCATTCAGAAGTATTTAAATATTCTGATGTTGACCACATCTGGAAGTGAGATGCTATTTTCAGAACGACATGGCAAGACAGTTTTCTTTGTTGAATCGCATCCAAAGAGTGCCGTGAATGTCTCATTGGAAGAAGAGGAATTGGAATTTACACAAGTCGAATAACAAAAGCTGTAACAAGTTAGATGAAACTAGAACACCAAAGAAAGGCGAGTTAAAAGCAGGTGGAATTTCTCTTCAAAGGTTATTGACATAGACAGTTTTGGATGGATACTCAATACAAACAATTCCAATTTTTTAGAGATTTTCATTTGAAATGCTTTTACGGCTGGCTATAGTGCTAGTTTCGTTGAATAACTTCTATCGATGGAAATGACTGAATCTTCAAATAGTGAGTTTCAGAAAGCTAATTTTGTTTGTCTTAGTTCGCTATTCACTTTTGTCTTGTGCCCATCTGTGAACAACGTTGTCCTACAACCGTTAAAAATATATCTAGCCATATTGCTTTGATACTTTCAAGAGTACCAAGGTTAACTACATCGAACTCAGTCACCTTGCTGCTTCGTTTTGTTTTAACACCTGTAACATTAGGTCAATACCAGAAAATTTCCGGTCACTCAACCAAATGAAATAAAAAACCAACGTACACCATAGTGTATATTTTGTTGATTGACGATTGATGTCCCTCCTGAAAAGGATTTAATTAACTTAGTATACGATTTGAGAAATCTTGTAAATTGCTACCCTGCGATTGGGTCATAGAGGGGCATCTGTACAATCTGTAAAAGGCTGTACAATTAAACTGACAATCAAAACTGAAACTAAAAAAAAGTGATAAGCTAATCCAACACAACTTCATCCCGGAAAACGAATTTTGGATTTCATCGAAGGAAATGTTTTCGAGCCGCTCAAATTTTTCAGGTCATTAATTTACACCAATAGACAATGATTCAATTTTCTCAGCGGATGAAGTTGTCATCTCTTTCGGTAAGTTCTTGGCTTATATTATGATTTACTCCGCTTCTTCTTACTAACGAAAAGTGTCATTGCACTGTTTGATTCACGCTAAAACAATGTTACTCTCTGTTACATTTCTGAAGCATGACAATTTATGTTATACCAAAATGCTCAATTTTGCAAATATTGCAAAGCCAGCAAATTGTTTCTTACACGACCGACAGCCGAAGAGGTGGTTTCGGGTGAGTCACTAGTAAAACGAAATTTCAGTTTTAAATGCGGTCTTTTTGGTCAAATTCTTGATTAATCTGATTTTCCTGAGTTTTAGGAACCCCAAAACCTCTCATTTTTAATAACAGGTTGAGATTTTGCCACTTTTTCAGGGCCACAGTATCTTTTCCGACGTGAAGAATAAGACTTGGATAACTTGTATACTTCTCATCCTGTTTCAACCTGTTACCGGTCAAACTGGAAAAACCGGTTGTCAAGATGTTCATTCTATCTCTGGGTACTCTCTCATCAGTCACGTGTATCGAATGATGTCACAAGTAGGCCTGATCACCTGTATCACCGCCTGCCAAAATTACCCACAATGCTTCAGTCTTAACTTCAAGTACACTTATCAACTATGCGAGCTGAACAATGCATCTCGTCTGAGTGCTGAGCCTAAGTATTTTGTCTATTCGAGTGATACGGTGTATTTAGATAACTTACATCGACCGTATAGACCCTGTGATAATTCACCGTGTATGAACGATGGGGTTTGTATTTCTACTGATTTCTACCCAGGATTCAAGTGTGCATGTAAAGAAGGATTCTTTGGACCAGTTTGTGAAGGTGAGAACTCGATTTTGATTCTGAATACAAATGACTGATCAGGAAAGTAAGTGACATTTTTTCCTTTCAGGTAGCGAGGAGGAGCAGGAGTGAAAGTCCTTCTCTCCCCCTCCACCCCTACTCAATCTCCCCTCCCCCCAGAGGAACTAAATATTTAAAAACATACCACCCAAGGCTCGTTAATAATGATGACAATGTGGGTGCCCGTAACTCTGTATTTTACTCGTCATGAATTATAACTTTATTTTGCTAGACTCAGTATCACCTACGGACTGTTCGGCTCCGTATCGACCTTTGGGAATGAAGGATGGCAATATAACGGACGGTCAAATCACTGCTTCTTCTGAAGTACCAGGCTTTCAGGCCTTTAAGGCGCGGTTTGATGGCTCCTCGTGTTGGAGAAGTGCTAAAAGTAGCCTTGGAGAGTACTTGGAAGTAAACTTTGGACGAAAAGAGTACGTCAAAGCAATTAAAACTCAAGCCGATCCATTGCAAGACAACTGGACAGAAAAGTACTACTTAGCGTTTTCCCTGGGGTTAGGATGCAAGAATGTTACCCGGCAATTTGGACGAGTTGTGGTACGTAGTAGCTTTTAATAGAAGTGTGACGGACAGTTGTTGAGATATGATACACAGAGATGTACACCAATTTAACCCTTTAACTCCCAAGATCTGATTGTTAATTCTCTCGTCAAGGTGCTTCACATTTCCTTTTATGTTAAATCACTGAGTTACGAGAATGTGATGTTAGATCAAAATAACAACTCCTGCCGGATAAGTTTTAATATTCTCATTACCTTTTTGCTGGGTAATGTGTGGATATCATAGAGAGAAGTAGAATGTTGATCAATTCTGGGAGTTAAAGAGTTAACGCAGTCTAGATCTTACTTCGAGACTCTGGTTTTGAAAGACAGCGATGGCACAACCGAGCGAGGAAGCTGGGTATGAAATCCGAAATTCACCGCGCTTTTAATTTAGTGTCGTATAACCATAGAGAAGTAAAATTGAAAGGAAGGAAAATACCTAAAGAGCCGAAAGATATCTTGAATCACAAGCGCACTGCTTCAGGCGCGGAAAAACTCGAGAGACCAATTCGCGTTTAGTTTAAGTTTTGCATCTGATTGGTTGACGGAGGTTGTGGCGAAACTTGAATTTTTGACAAATGATAAAGCAAAGCAAAATGAATATGATCCTGGATAATAAAGGATTACTTTCGACTCTTTAGAGATAATTGCTACGTTGACTACGCCGTGATTCAGTTTGAGTGGCATATTTTCACCCAGAGGCTACACAGTGAAACTTGTGGCAATTTTATCGCGAAACAGCTAGAATTAGGGTCATGTTTTGAGTCAAAATCCCAGAGCAGGATATATTTCTTTAGTATAGTACACCTTGAAATGGTTAGAGTGTGTTCGTCTTCCAGAATTACAAAGGGAACACAGGGCCAAACCATATCATCACCAACTACTTGGGAGAACTAAGCTTCCACGCGACAGCTATCCGAATCTATCCTCTGAAATGGCATGGACGCATTGCACTACGGTTGGAGTTGTACGGTTGCTAGGAATCTATCATCAAGAATGGCATGGACGCATGGAACCAAGGTTGCTAGAAATCTATCATTAAGAATGGCATGGACGCATGGCACTAAGGTTGCTTGAAATCTATCATCAAAAATAGCGTGGACGCATGGCACCAAGGTTGCTACAAATCTATCATCAGAAAGGGCATGGACGCATGGCACTAAGGCTGGAGTTGAGCTAGGGTTACATCATTGGATTTTTTTTTTCTGCTTTTGAAAATACTTAGACATACGAATGGACAACAGCTTTTAAGAAAAATCTTGCTTTAAAAATATATCAAAAATGGATAAAAAGTCATGTCTTCATAAGTCATTGCAACTTATAGTACTTCTTCTCTTGGCAGACGTTACGAATATAGTGTGTTGTGCGTAGCCAGACCATGACTTTGGCACATATAAACAAGAAAGTCGTATATAAAAAAGAGTTAATAAAAAAAGTAATCTAAAAGAATTTTTAATGTGTCTTACGTTCAGAAGGTACATGATTCATTTTTGCGTAGAGGCAAACATCACTCGAGGTTCCCTTGGGGACCGATTCCCCTTGCTTACAGATGTAGCGTTTTCGTTTGATTAGTAAATTTGTAATCACAACATGATATTTTTAATCAATGCTTGTCAGCAAACGCGTAAGCTGTTCATTCAAGTTTTGCAATGCTTTCTTGGAAGAGGAGAACTTTTTCTCTGTTGTTTTGGCATTCAATTGATGAATTGTCTTTGCCACGATGAGAAGACAGCGTTCAAATAGGTACTCTTCAACATAACTAGCACCTCGTGCCGCAGCGAGTCTCTTAGAAGGAATGATTAGGCGATGTTCCTTGACGTTGCTTCGAAGCAGCTCGCGGAGAAGTTTCTGGTGTTGGTCCCAGTCCTCTTGACAAGCCTCAATTTGTCTCCTCAAATCTTCAAGGCAAACGTTCTCGCAGTCTGCCAAGAATACGGCAACTTGGTTGTCGAACTGATGTTTGTCTGACAATAACAAAGCTTCGAGACCAAGCTGTCTGACATAGATGTACGAGCTGTTGATGGCGTTTTGATCAACAATCACTTGAACTTTTTCCAACATTTCCTCAGGAAGTATTTCAAACAAACGTTTTTTGCTCTCCCGAAAAACTGGAATGCTATCACAGTAAAAATTAATCATACTGCTGGTCACATTCTTTGCGAGCTTCAATTGAGTGTTAGTTTGCGGTTTAAGTCGTCGGAGGCCTTGCATATCAACCGCAAATTGCGTGAATAAATCAGACAAATCCAAATGGTATTTGGCGAGTGTCTGAGTTGGACTGCTCTCAACAGGCACCAATCCTTTCAAATCACTCTTCGCTTCAACGGCGTCGACAAGTAACCCATACTTGGGGAGCACGTCACTTATTTTCCCTTGAAGTCGTGTAAGAGTTGAGTTGGTTTTGACTATACCATCTAATATTGACCCCACAGCGGGTCCATCAATGACGGTATTTCCCTGCAATTCTGCGGCTTCCCTATGGCAAGCGTTACAGACTCGCAGATACAAACAACCGGCTGGTTCTTTATCCGGGGAACCAATAATGTTGATGAGAGACCACTGTACGGCAGCTGATTCTCCCGCGGGATACAAGATAAGAGTTTCTTGCGAACAAAATGAACATATTATTGATCCACAAATTCTGGAAAGGCAAAAAAAGTTAAATCAATTTCGAGATAAGCTTCGGAAACTTGCACCAGCTGTTCAACCAATCTGATGAAAGAATGAAATTCACCAAAACCAAGAACCGGTCAAAGGTGTTTTTCCGTATGAACTGATGGATAAATTCCGTAGAAAACCACCAAAAGCTGAGGGGTGGTGTGAAAGTTCACCAGGGTACTGAGGTGGTAATGCTCATATTCCCAAGGGAACAACTTAATTAGCCCCAGGCCTCCCTGTTTCACCTAACTAGCTGTTGATTTACCTTTGGTTGTCATATGACCACTTCGTTTTGTCCGTTCAATCAGTCCAGAGGTTTTTTTATCATCATGGGATTATGGTTCTTTCCATGGCTTGCAGGGGATGTCATGTGGGAAAGTAAAAATAAGTCTCCTTAAGCTTACAAGGAGGGGGGGGATGGGCTTATCATGACTCCCAAAGTATGTTAGCTCTCACATGACAAAAATCACTCATCCTAATTTGCTGACAGGTTTTGTCCGTTGGCATGTAACAGGAGCTTCTACCTACAAATAATATGTACTTACTTGCAGTGAGACTTTATCTCAGTTACTGAAAATGCTTTATTACACAGTGTACAGTTGTTCCTTGATGAGCTTGGCTGAAAAGAGAAAGAACATAAAAAAAATGATTTACTCAGTTTGAATGACTTGCATTCAGAATAAAGAGTCTATTTAGGGGAAGATGGGCATTTTAATAAAAGACACAGTTTGAGAAACTTAACCAAATCTTATTGATGGAATAAAATTGAATTTTTGCAGCATTTTAAATTTTGGGAATTTTTTTTTCTGCACAAAACTGCTTTGGGAGATAGAGGACAATCTGCAAAATCCAAAAGTTAAGAGAGTGTCTCTGTAAGAGCGGTCCGGTCGATTTGGCTAGAGACACGGATTTCGCTCATTTCTTGTGTGTTGTAAGACATTCATGTACCTATACTAAAACCACAATCCGTTTGATCGGATCTCTTTATTTTTCAGAGTTTTACGGAAATTAAATTTCACTCGACCGAAGGCTTGTCGTGACACTTTTCAAGACTTTAATTTGAGACAAGTTTGGAGGACAATTTACAAAAAACTACGGAACTCAGCGAAAAACAAATAGCCCAGCCATGTATATTAACTCTATCTTATCTATCGAAGCGACTTTTGTGAACATCATGTCTCAATCAAGGAAACAGGAAGACTTGAATGACACCGTATCGGTTCGCTTAAGTCACACACGCGAAAACCGATCAAATTCAAGGTAAATTTTTGAAAAAGTAAGGCGTTCTTTACTGATCCAACTAACATAGCTAGGAAGTAGGTGCCATACAAAAGGTACGCTATGTTTACCTCATAAACGTGACCGCTGACCAGCCGCTGAGTGAAAACAGTATAGCGCGGGGTGGGGTGGTTGGCGGGCTTATCGTCATAAGATATTCGAATACATGCTTAAAAAGCTTTAGGACTCCCAGACGAAATAGTGAAGGCATGCTTCATGGTACAGACAACTTTCATTTTACTCTTATAACTTTCTCCTTTAAATTAGAACGGGTATTAATTAATAGAGTTATCAATATATTTTTAACCGGGGTACCCATATGACCTTTTTGCTTGTCATCAGTGGTATAAAATAAGGTGTCTTTTCCACCAGAACCTTTTATTTATATTACAAGTACAGGAAGAAGTCGTTCGTTAGCGAGACGTTCATTGTGTCTCAGGACTGCTTTTTTAATCGCAAAGATGGAAAAAACTTTGGTTCATCGCGTGGCTTAAGTGGTTTGGTGCGACTGTCTGAATGCAATGATGAAGTAACACATCATTTGATAAGCTACCACCTGTCTAAAGAGGTCTTAAGTGAAAATGTATGTAAGAATGGTAAGTTTAACGAACAATTTCAAATTTTGCCACTTGAATTGAAAGTAAAGTTCATTTGAATTGCTTTCTTATGTATTTCTGACGGTCTTAGATCTACCTGCTTGATTTATATTTGCTACGCTTCATGTTGACGAGTCCCTCAAAATGGCGGCCAAACTTGGAGATTGCCGAAAATTAGGTAAGTTCACGGAGATATAAAGTTTTCGAAAAGGTCGGGCCGCAATGTTTTTTCTGTAGGTACCTTTTGTATGGCACCTACTTCCTAGCTATGTTAGTTGGATCAGTAAAGAACGCCTCACTTTTTCGAAAATTTACCTTGAATTTGATCGGTTTTCGCGTGTGTGACTTAAGCGAACCGATACGGTGTCATTCAAGAAGGTGAAATTTTCTTGCGTCAAAATGGCGGAGGAAGTCGCCTCCGGAAAGTCGAAGACTGCTTCCAAAGCGAAAAATACATTCTCAGATGAGGAAACAGAGAATATGATATCACTGTGGAGCGAGGAAGAGGTTATTTTCCTTCTCTTGCAAATTATTGAAACAATGACCGCGGCCGAAACGAGTGGAATTGCACGCGATTTTGGCATGTCGTAGGTGAAAATGTCGTGCGCGTGTAAATTGTCCTAAGTCATGTCGTAGGCCTGTCGTAAGCTTGTCGCATGCGACAAAGTCGTACCGTGTAAATAGGCCTTTACAGAGACACTCTCTTAAACCTGCATAATTCTTCTGTGGCACGGAAGTTTAAAATAAAAGTTGGAAAAACACTGCAAACTTGACATCACTACTTGATGAAAATCTTCTGACATACAACAATGCTTTTGCCTGCTAAATATGATATTTATCCACCTAATGTTGCTAAGAAAATTAATTAGCTCCTCACCATCCAATGTTTTGATCTTTGCCAGTCTGGGATCTTCACAAAGCTAAATGTTTCACTCACAAAGGACTTTAATTTTGACTGGCCAATGTGCTTGGTATAACCATCAACAAGTCGTTGTAACTCTTCTTTTATGTGTGTCACAAGGTGACCAGGCCCATCTTTATGATCATTGTTGTTTTTCCTAGATTTCGTGAGGTTTCGAAAGTGGTTGAATTCTTTCCATAACGAGCGGAAAGCTCCATCCCTCTGTGGTCCAACATCAAAACAGCTTTTACATACCTGATAAAAGAGAACCATGGCAACAGTTTATAAGTCATCATTAAAGTTACCACTATCACTTCTCCAACTAGTGGTGTATCCAGTAACCCAAGTGGCCTGTGCAAAATGAGGGGAGGGGTAATTCTCTGTAATATTCCCTGTAAAAATGGCACAGGTTTAAAATTCTTTCAATTGCACCAACCATTAGGTTACAGCATCTCAGTAAAAGTAAATTTACTAAAAACAAAAAGTTAAAAGTGAAATATTTATTTCTTACTCTGTAGCTAAATCCATTTGGATCTGGAGTTCCAAATACTGACAGCCGACGCCTGTATTGAGAGCACTTGCCACAAAATACTTCCCCACACCTTAAAATAAAAAGTATGGTAAACAAAACAGCTTCATTTTGATTTTTAAAAGACACTTTAAGGACAGAGTAAATAGTTTGAACCCAGGATTCATGGCTGACAATGTGGTCTGACTAATGAAAAGACTTCGATAAAAGGCTACTCCCCTCCAGATGACCAGACCACAAGATTGATAAGCTCTTAGAATAGCTGCAGAGTGATTAGCAAAGCTGATGCAGTTATAGACAAAATTAGTTGAATTGAGCACTTTATCCCCTAGCCTAAGAATATCTCATCTTGAACTTTATGAACAGTTTTAAAGGCTACAATCTAGAAATTATCCTAAAAATAATTCTATAAAAATTGTCGAAATCATAATCATCTGAGATCATGATGACTGTTTATTGAGCTAATATCAGTAGGCATATTCCCCATACTGTTTTCTACACATTTCCTATGGTACTGACAAGGAGAATTTGTCTAACAATCAAGAGCTTCTTTAGTTGGTGATCATTTGTTCTATTCCTGTGGCCTTAATGAGTGATGCAGGGGTGATATTATAATGAGAAATTAGATGCTAGTCATTCTTTGGGCTTTAATGGGTTGAGAGATTTATTTTGGTATATTAACTTTAATATTCTGTTTCATTATTAATCTAAAGACAAATATATCACAATAAATATCAACATAACTTTGAATTCAACCAAAAGCAAGTTTTGAAACAAATCTTAAATTCAGAGATACTTCCTGTTGCCAACAGAGTTTCAAATACGTTTTTACATCCGTTTACCCATCCTAATGGACTTGAGTGCCCCCTTCCCCTCCTGGAGGAAAATAATAACTATTGCCACTATTACAACTGCCATTCCCCAACAGGAATCTGAAAAGTGTGGGGTATAATTTTCGCTCAGCTCCATACTATTTTAAAACAAATCTGTTTTCCCGATGGCAATGTATTGTTTTTGTCATTGTTTTCTCTATCCAAGAGCTGAATGCATAATGTAGTATGGGGCTGTGCGGAAATTTTACCCAATCTCTTCCTCAGATGGTAAAGAAAGCAAGATAAATCTATTGAATTGGACTCCATATTACTGATATTAGGATAACAACGCGTTATTTTGTAGTAGCCAGAACTTAAGCCCGCTAGCCAGCGTTTTACATACCTTCTGCAGTGATGCTTTCTCTCCGTTAACGTAAATTTCTTCCGACAACTTCCATCAGCACAGTGAGTACGTTCTGAACTGTTCACCCAATGCCCTGTCTTAATCTGCCCAAGACTTTCCGCCTTCGGTGTTGGTTCCTTGTGCTCGTTCAAAAGATAACTTACCGAGCAACTCAAATCTTCCCATTGGGCATTAAGAGACTTTGATCGATAATAATTAGAACTTTTGTGAGCCATGGTGCTGTAGGAGAGGCAAAGAGTTAGGCTAAAGGTTTTGCCAAAGGAATGGAGATGGTTGTAACACAGCCATATACGGGTATCGACGCCATGTCTGAATGCCAAGTAGACGACAAAATGATTGACAACATTCACATTTTAGACTTCATGTATGGCTCACGATATGTCCTAATTAACCTTGTTTTACTACGATAGCCAACTTCTGCCCCGAGTTAACCAACCTCTACCACGTTAACCCCCATCTACACTAAGTTAACCATATTCTACCACGTTAACCCACATCTACCCTACGTTAGCCATTTTTTACCCTTATCTACCCTATTTTAACTTCGTATTTTCTTGTTGACCGACGTATACGTCAAGTTAACCTTGTTCTCCTTTGTTTAGGCCTACCTACCCCAAGTCAATCTCGTTTTAGTTTGTTCACCCATAAAAACGCTGAGTTAGACACTTTCTTTCACATTCACCAAACTCGTGACAACTAATTAGGGTTTCACTATTGATAAATGAATAAAGGGGTAAGTTTCTAAAGAAACTGTGGTGTTGCGTCGGTGGGAGAGTATAGCAGGTAATTTAGTGTTAACAACTGAGTTGAAAAAGGTAAATTAGCCACCGTAAAGGGTAAAAAAGCTGACGTTTCGAGTGTTAGCCCTTCGTCAGAGCAATTGGAGGAATTGTGGGTTGTGTGGTTTTATATGCAGAAAGTGGAGCTACGCCATTGGTGGGAATATGGTGACGAGAAAACAGGAATAAATTAGTTGAATGAAAAGCGCTCGTTGATTCTATGGGGATTAAGGGCGCCGATTTGGAAGATAAATTTTTGTTCTAGTGTTTTACGGCTTTCCGAACTGCCTAGATATAAGGAAAGGCCGCAGACTGCCATATGCTGTTTAGAATGATTAGGGAGATTTAAGTGTCTAGCGACTGGTTTGGATGAGTCCTTGTCATTTCTTCCCACGTCGCGAAGGTGTTCTCGGAATCGGTCACCTAGTCGTCTTCCTGTTTTGCCGATGTATAACTTATTGCAATAAGTGCAAGTTATGCAGTAAATAACATTGGCGGAGGTACACGTAAAGTGATCAGTTATCTTAATGGATCTCTTGGGTCCCGATATTTTCCCCACGTTACTCTTTACGGTGGTTATTTTACGTTTTCAACTCAGTTGTTAACACTAAATTACCTGCCTTCACTATTGATAGATAACGTTATGATTGATGGCTTCTTAGAAGCAGAAGCAAAGAAAGTTTTTGATACCGTGGACCGTAGAAAGTTTTGCTTTAGAAATTAGGGTATTACGGGTTTAATGGCCTTCTCTCAAGTGGCTCTATTGGTGGCAAGCAAACATTCAAGCTATATATTTAATTATCAGCAACAAGAGTCTGATTGATCTTGATATTGAAAAGTAACATTCGGGATATTGTCAACAAGATATTCTTAGAACTAGCAAAAACGAAATGCAGCTCATCATTTGATTCGTCATCAGAAATATAGCAGTATAGTTTCCTAGTTGCTGTACTTTATCCATGCAGTTCCTAAAGACTTCATCCTTTTTTCTTAACCCTCTCAGTCTGTTCGCTGCGTCTCCCTTTCCAGAATAAGATCACTTGTTATCGTCGAGTAATTTAAAAACTCTTGAAGCAATCATCTGCCATGGCTTTTACGAGTTAAAGGTTATTTGGAAAATAAGGGAGTAGAAATTCGATAAATAACGCAGTCACAAAAGAATTGATAAATGATTTTTTCAGGGGAAACGAAGTTTTACACGCATCTTAAGACTATTTTTAATAATTTTTAAATTTTTTTAAAATAATTTTTTAAATTAATTTTTTAAATAATTTTCAAACAATTTTTTAAAATCATTTTTTAATAGATTTTTTTAAAAAGTTTTTTTAATAATTTTTTTAAATAGATTTTTTAATTACTTTTTTTAAAAATTTTCAATCACTTTTTTAATTTTTTTAAACAATTAAAAAAAATTGTTTTAATTTTTTTGTTTTCATTAAAAAATCGCCATGTGGCTCCCTCTAGTATTGACTTGAACAATTTGTTTAAAACTGAACTCGTGAGCAGCACTCTGCGAGCAGAAGTTGTAAAATTTCTTTATTCCCTGACGCATTTCGTCTACAGTAAAAACCCGCGTATAAGAACCTAAAATTTTGGAGTTCAGGTTGAACAGGTTCTTATATTTTGGGGTATTTTTTCCAATAACAGGCTGATTAGGTTCTTAGTAGGTTCTTATTTGCAAAAGTTATTATAGTGATAGCATTCGGGGAACTGCAATAGTACTAATATGCTATAATTGTAAAGCATTTACAAAAATGTCAAGCCTTGTTGTCGAAACAAGTCCTGTATCATGGGCCTGACCATATTTACAGTTATATGATCACCATGCAAATTTCAACAGGAAAAATATGCCTGCCTTGTTTTCAAGTACAGAAGCAGAAACATAAATTGTTTATTCTTGTTACATGTATTACTGTCACAGTTGGACTGAAAAATCTTAGAGAAACCTGAAAGTATTTAAATAGGGTTTGGAATTTTACACATGTCAGATGAACAAAGGAAACCTTCAAGGACGACATGTACATTCTTTTCTTAATTGATATTTTGTCACATGGACTAAAATCACATCTGGGCACTTACAGAATCAAGGTCCAAGAGAAAAGTCCTGTATTTTTTTATGTTCTGTATTAAAAAAACTATTTTGATTTTTAAATGCTCTGTACAGTATTTGTGACTGTATTTGTAACTACAGCAAAGTTTTATGGAATGAATAGTATTTTATTGGTAAGACTAAAAAGCAGTACGCTACAAAAATTTTCACAATTAAAATCCAGAATTTGAACATCAAATCTGGAGTGTTTATTTATATAAGAACCTATTTTTCTTTGTCAGGCTGAATAGGTTCTTATATATTTGGGTATTAAAATGCAAAATTTCAGCCTGTAGGTTCTTAAATCACTAGGTTCTTATACGCGGGTTTTTACTGTAAATGTCGTAGACGTCCTCAAGGAGTTTTACATGTTGAAACGAAACGCCTGTATTTATAAGCCATAGTTAAAGGCTTTACGAATGCCAATGACTAAAAAGGCTTGGCCAGACATACGAATAGGACCGGACAAAGATGTGAAAAATTAGTGGGCAAGAAAACATATTTTTTTTAATCATTTTAAAAAAAATTAATTGCAAAAATGAGTCAAAAAAGTGTTAAAAAATTAATTAAAAATTGATTTAAAAAATGTTTTTAAAATTAATGCTAAAAAATTGATTTAAATAATTAAAAAGAAAATTAATTAAAAAAATTGTAGTAAGCAGTCAGATAACAAGCGATACATTGTGGAAGTAAGGTGAGGTATTTTTATTGAGAATTTGAAGCATTTTTTATTCCTTAGAGCGGTAGTAAATATTGTCATATAAACTCTAATTCCGCCATGACTGTTATTTAGCAAGATGTTCATCTTACTGCTGAAGCTTGGGCCACCTTTGGTTTCACCTGTAGATCTTAGATTAGATGACGTCATTTCAAGACGTCTTTTGGTTGGCCAGCTGTGAACTTCATGAAAAGGAGAAAACGTTAAATAGCGTGAAAACTCAACAAATTTTTATATTCTTCGGCGACAATGATATCTGCGGTGAGCTTTTTTATTTTCCTTACTTCGACGATTCTCCATATCTTCGTCACCTCCGCTGCATCTGGACCTAATATCTTATTTGTTTTTGTGGATGATCTTGGATGGAGTGATGTAGGCTTCCATGGTTCGAAAATTCAAACCCCAAATGTTGACAAATTGGCTAAGGAAGGAGTAATTCTGGATAATTACTACGTCCAACCTATGTGCTCTCCATCCAGAGCAGCATTGATGTCTGGAAAATACCCGATTCACCTTGGTTAGTATGATTTCAGTTTTCTGTGGATTTTTGGCCAGTTTAACACTATTACTCCTAATATAAAGCTGGGGGGGGGGGGGGCGGCGGTATTTCCTTCAGTTTCCCATTACTCTTTTTCGAAAACATCATGTGACGACCAGCATGTCACTTGCACCCTAGGGCTGGTCTGCAATAAATTCACCACCTGCTCAACTTTGTTTCTGCTCAAAAAATCCTTCCTTGAAGTGAATGATAGACAAACCGAAAGTTAAAAAGGGTGTGACATTAATCATGAGCCATCGTAGATGTTAATTATTTTGGTATTTACAGTGATAAGTTAAGCCCTTTGCAGTTTATAAATGTAGATTTAGATGGAAACGTATATTACAAACTCTAGATATTCTTTTTTGCACATGGAAGTATGTAAAATTGAAAGTTGATGATTTAAAAAGCCCCAATGTCGACATGTAATTTCTCCTTACTATGACTCATACAATCATTGAAGACGTAGTTAGGAGAATTCAAATCGTGTAGAGGTAGAACAATTATTTTTTTGCAGGAATGCAGCATGGAGTTATTCGTAGTGAGTCTCCATTTGGTCTGCCGTTAAATATCACCACACTGCCCCAAAAGCTCAAGGAAGTTGGTAAGAATTTGCTCTGTACTTACGAGTCCAACCTTCTCTTAAGAGTGTTATGTTAACAATTCTGTGAAAAGTGAATTCTAAGTGACCTAATGCTATAATTGTTTATTCTGGGTTTGAATGTGAAATAGCGATTTCGTAAAACTTTTGACAATGAAAATGAACAGTAAAACAAGACGTTTCGACCAAACTTTGGTCATTTCCAAGTGAATAGTAAGAATGTCACGATGAATATTTATATGCCTGTAAGGGACGTAAAATTTTTTGGAAATGTAAACGGTCAATAAGAACATATAAAGAGAAGAAATAATCAAGACATAACATCAGCAGTCAATTTCCTCGAGATTTTAAACCAGTGCTATTCCTCTATTAAGTTTACCTTGGAGACGGAGAGTCTTGGGAAGTGCCTCGCGTGGGTCCTCGCGTCCCGTTCGCACCTTCCCTTTTGACCTTATCACTTTAAATCACTTTGCACATATATTTCATTTTTTTTCTTCGCTGTTTAATTTGCTGTATGTAACATGTGTAATGGTCAATAAAGCTGTAAAAAAAAAGTAAAAGCATGCTTCCTATTTTGTTCCACTTCTCAACCGGGCACACAAAGAGTTGATATCTGGGCGCATTGGCCAGCCAAGCCACCGTTTATTTGACGCCAAATCGATATGCTTACAAAAGTCTTTTACGATTGAAGTAAACTAAATGCACTAAAGCCGGACACGAAAACTCCTAAAAACCAGCAGGTGAAAAAAACGGGGAACGTGTACCCTCAACCAAGGCAACATGACAATCTTACCATTCACTTGAAAATGACCGAAGTTTGGTGGAAATGTCGTGTTTTACCGTTCATTTTTATTGTCTTAAGTGTGGAAGCCTTTGAATTTCAAACTCAAAACCGGGTTGTGTTTGATACATATAATTGTTATTGGTCAATAATTCAATTTAAGCAGCTTATTAATGACTTTGCCAACACATTTCGTAGGTGGTAGAGTCATTTGGAAGGTGAGGGGGGTGTATGATACACTAGCCAAGCTAATCAGTTGGTGACAATGCACAACAAGGCACTTGTTGAAAGAAAAAAACTTCTAGACCACATCATTTTGCTAATCATCATCTCTTTGAAATAATTCGTGGAAAGATGTACTAATTTTTTACTGCAACAGAGGAAATTTGTGTACCAGAACGTAGAGGTGCTGACTGTCTCCCAAATTGAAATCGATAGTGGCTAAAGCCATTCCCTCCCTCCCCCCCTCCTGTCCCCCTGGTTATTCTACCTGTAGTTGTATTTTGTTTGGCAAATTTCCCCTTAAAATACTAAAGGATTGCTCTTGTTGTTGTTGTTGTTATTATTTTTTTTAAGGATACAGCACCCATATGGTAGGCAAGTGGCATCTTGGTTTCTACAACTGGGACAGTACTCCTACCTACCGAGGTTTTGATACCTTTTATGGATTTTACAATGGCGATGAGGATCATTACACACATGTTGTTGATGATTTTCTTGATTTCAGAGACAATGAAGAAATTGTCAGGGATATGAATGGGACATACTCTGTTAATGCTTTTACAGAGGTAAACCATTTGTGTTTAAAAAGAATTGCAAAATGTTTGCTTTCAAAGGCACTTAACCCTTTAACTCCCAGAAGTGATCAACATGCAGCTTCTCCCTATAATATCCTTACATTAGTCAGCAAACAGCTAATGAGAATATTCAAACTTATCATGTAAAAGTTGTCTCGATCTAACACCAAGTTCTCATTACTAATTAACAAGGATTTGTCTAGCAGCTGGAGGGGAGACTTACTAATCAGATCTTGTGAGTAAAAGGGTTAATCATAAATAAGTTAGATAAAAGAATTTCTGAGTCTGCTCAACAAAATCCATGCAATAATTTTTTCAAATTTGATAAGTATGTGTATGTTGTGTTGCAAGTGCACCTGCAGTAATCACTGCATTTCTATCTATTTTTGAAATGTTTGGTTTTTATAGTTTATTCAGGTGTAATCTGTTTTTTTCTTCACGCACTACAAGTTGATTGATTTTAGATATGAGCTACAGTCAAGAAAGAAAGATAAGCATTATTTTTATCTTTATCATTATCAATTACCTTTGTTATTGATCAATACTTTTTCAGCGAGCTGAGCATGTCGTCAAATCACATGATGCATCAAATGGTCCTCTTTTCCTTTACATGGCATTCCAAAATGTCCACTCTCCAGTCCAAGCTCCTAAACAATATGTAGATAAGTACTCCTTTATAGACGACACAATAAGACAGACTTATGCTGGGATGGTGGATATCATGGATGAAGCAGTTGGTAATATAACAGGCGCTTTTAAAGAAGCAGGGTATGTGTGTATATCCTTTTTACCCTAAATAGAGAGCATTTCCAGTCATAATTCCCTTGACAAGGAAGGTCCACAAGGGAGGAAAAATTTAAATAATGGCAAGTATCTGCCAGAGGGGTATCACTTTCAGCTCCAGGGTTTATGGAATGTAACATGTTAACACTTTGAGTCCAAAGATCTAATTGGTAATTCTCCTTACAGTCAGCTAAACAGTTCTTAAGATGTTGGTTTGGAGAACTTGAAAAATTGGATCAACTTATAATCCCCTAATTAATGTTTTTCTTTATTCTCATCACTTGTTTGCTTGATATTGTATTTATGTTGTAAGGAGAAATTCTGTCCTGGTCACTCATGGGATTTAAAGGGTTAAGGTAATGGAAAGGGTAAGGTTAGGTGTAGTGGATGTGTTTACAATGGTCCAAGGATAGGTTAATATTGTTATAGGTTAATATTGTATTTATGTTGTAAGGAGAAATTCTGTCTTGGTCACTCATGGGATTTAAAGGGTTAAGGTAATGGAAAGGGTAAGGTTAGGTGTAGTGGATGTGTTTACAATGGTCCAAGGAGGTTAAACTTGTTCTTGAAAGAAAAACAAGCAAAATTTGCTTAAAGTTTAGAGGTAAACCTTCAATTTGTCTTCACTTCACATTACAAGATGTTTTAAGGATGTGGTAACCACAGGGGATAAATGTAAGAGTAAACAATTGGCAAACAGGAAGAGTATCCACATCATATTGGAGGGAAGCTAAATAAATATGATTTTAGTACTGTAAACCTACCTCAGGCACTGAGAAGATGAATATTTATTTATGTCTTTGTTCGCTATAGTGTTATTTTTGAAGGATAAATAAAAATTCATGTGAGGAGTGCTATGGGTTTCATGTTGATAGGAAAGCTAGTTAATTAAAAGCAGATATCACAGAAGAACGACAAATGATAATTCTTGGCAAACTAGGTTTAGAATTTACTTAACAATTTCTTGCTCTTTGAAGGTTATGGGACAACACCTTGATGATCTTCAGTACTGACAATGGAGGGGTCCCAAAACATGGTGGATATGACTACCCCCTGAGAGGACGTAAGGGCACTCTGTGGGAAGGAGGAATCAGAGGGGTGGGGTTCGTACATGGAAAAATGCTGTCTAGAAGTGGGGTGAAATCTACTGGGCTGATTCACGTGACTGACTGGTACCCAACATTGGTTAATCTTGCTGGTAAGGACAAGTGCAGCATGCATGGGTGTGCTTAATGGAACAACTTACTCTGTGCAATACAACTGTAGAAGTTTTCACTGCAATGAAATATTTTGGGCAATGTGCTTTTAAAGAGTACATGAAAAATGGACACTACTTAGACCTCTCATGGGTTCATTTGTTGGCTGACTTGAATTTCATGAAGATTGGGAGCCTCCACCTAGGTTCGCATTTTAAGGAAAATACATGTCCACTTAAAGCCTATTTGAATCTTTTGAATTCATCCTAGCATGTCTGCTTTCAAGATAGAAAGTCAAATGAGGACAAAGCCTGTTACGTCTTCATGTTGATAGAACCTCTGTCAGTCCAGACAGTGAAGGGGGAAATTTTATTAATACTTTTATTATTGCTAATATTATTGTTTTCTTTGAGCTACAAGCTAGCCTCATTCACAGCTGTTCTTTGGGATGTCACGCAGGGGAAATTGAGGGAGCGTTGTGCGACATTCCAAAGAACCGCTGCAAAGGAGAGTAACTAACAATGTGTGTTTTAGTAAAGAACGTGAAGTATTTAAAGTGAATTACCTAACGTGAATTACTCAACGTGAAGTATGTGAAGTTACTTTTTCTATATTTAGGTGGTCAACTTAATCACGAAGATCAGCCCCTCGACGGTTATGATGTTTGGAAAACCATTTCAAATGGTGAGGCCTCTCCACGCACAGAGATCCTTCACAATATAGACATTCCCATTTTCCCCGACGATGAACTCGGTTTTGCGTATCAAGGTATTGGTCTTCGTGTAGGAGACATGAAACTTTTGATGGGAGTTCCCAATATCTCATACTTTATCCCTCCGGAAGAGAAGAATTCTTCTAAAGTGGACTCGCTGACCGACTTGCTACAGGATGCGAAAGATGTGAGTGTGAGATATTGAGCATTTAACAAACTGAGCCTACTGCAGGTCCATTTTCGGTAAAAAATACAGTCATGTAATCTAAGAATTCAAATCATACAATTGAACAGCCACTGTAACTTTATTAGCATTTTTTAAGGTTTCCTTGAGCTGAGTCATAAACCTCTGTGTTTCATATGTAAAACTTATCTTCCAGTGCCTCTTAATGTGACTGTATTTTCGAAGTCTAAATGATTTGTTGAACTGAATGACTGATTTCCTACCTTATTTCAGTCCTCAGATGCCACCATCAATGTTGCACTGTACAACATCACTGCTGACCCGTATGAGAAGAATGACCTCAGCAAAAAATGCCCAGAGGAGGTGAAGGAGCTTCAAGATCGATTGAAGTATTACATGAAGGGTTTAGTGCCGCCTCCTAATGAGCCACCCGACCCAGAGGCAAGGAGAGTAGCGATGGAGAATGACGCTTGGACTCCATGGATGTGAAAAGACAAGCAAATGGAACGACAAATGCTGATAATTATGAACATGATCCTTACTCTGAACACAATAATTTTCAGTGCTTAAAATAGAAGCGAGGCTTGATTTACAAACAATCATGTGATAAAAGTAAATTTACACAAAATTTGCTCGTGAAAAAATCTCTTTATTATGAAGGAATAACGAGGGGAATAATTTTAATACAAGGAATAATAATAGGGAATAATTAAGGAATTTCATTAAGGATCAATTTAGAGGTTGGCCCAAGTTTCGTAGAGCATAGTCTATTGATAAGTGTACTTGTAATTCGGCCAATAGCACATAAAACACCAACTCGAATTGACAATTGAAAAGATGAGTTTTCTTTGACTAAGCTTCTTATGTCAAATAAAATATAACAGTTTTCAAATTGCTTAAGAATCCAGCATTCAGCAAGAGGGACAAAACAAGACTGGAGGAAGGGAAGGGAGGCAAGGAGAAAATAAAAGACTAAACCGTTCATGTATGGTGCTGTTTTTTGTGAATTTTCTTACTGATTGCTTATTGGTTAATTTAACCTCAAAAGAACTAGAGAACAGTTCTGATGTAAAATAAACTGTTTATTGGTCATGTTTACAGATCATTTTTCATTCAGTCGTGGATTGGATTTGATTACTTGTCAGCCCCAAGTTATATTGTTATGAGTTTGCCTGGTGCTGTATTTACAATCACTTAATTTTAACAATTTTCCATTGTCAAAAGTAATTCGGGATTGCATTGCTTCTGTATTACTTTGCTCTGATTGGTCAAGAAAACTTGAACCTTTCCTTTCACCAATCAGATGTAAGACAAGAACTGAATGGTGACTTGGTCACTCTCATTTTACCAGGCTTCCAGAGTGACTTAGAGTTTTAGTCAGCCTCTCGTGATTCATTTTCCATTTGTTCTGGCTCTCACAATAACATCAGTTTTGGTTTTTCAACAATTGATCAAAATGTGCTCTATTTCAGAGGATTACATATTTACATAACTTACAGCAAAATCACAATTTTACAAGTCCAGCACAAATTACAGAACTATAGAACTACAATCATTGATTGCAAAGTCAAATGTGTAAAAGTTGTAAGTTCCAATTTTCTTTCTCTCGTTAACTTTACAGACTGATTTCACAGATTATACCCTTCACATTATAGTCATATTGAGACCGATTACTTAGTTTCACATGCTCTTTTGGCTTATGTCTAATCTTTAATAACATCTATATTAATGGAGAAATAATCCCTCATCTGAAAGGAGAGTGTTTACTAAAATTAATTCCATAAGGAATTTTACAGCTGCAATTCATCCCTCTTCAAAATGAGGGTAGGGAATGGAAGCCATGTTCATCTCTTTGGTTTTTGTTTAACTCACAAGAAAAGTTCTGTCATCTTTCAGGTTTAATAAACAACTTGTTAGGGTCTTCTTGGACCTTTCCCTTAGCTTTGAACACCTCTTGAACAGACAATTAAGTGTTCCTGGATATCTCTAGTAGATATGTGAACAGTCCCAAAATATTTACTGCAGGTGTCATTTGAGGGTGCCAATGTGAAAGACATCAGTGCAGTCTTTCCCATTCCAGTGACATTAACCTCAGTTACGTTCGCACTTACTCTGAGATTCAAATAAACTGAGTACCAGTCCCCTAGTTCAAGTAGAAGATGAAAAATGACTGGTCCCCAAGGGAATAAAATTTGTGTGAAGGATTTCTTCTGTTCAGCTTCCAGTTCAAACAAAAATGCATGTTTCCTAGAAATCAAAACTCATATATTTACACATTAAGACATGGTAACACAATTATACCTCTGTCTTGGAAAATGGGTCATCAGTATATTAATAGGATAAGAAAAGAAATTTAAAAAAGATACGATTCTCAGTACATTCTTTCTTACATGAAGGCCTGAATATCAATTATTACACACCTTGAATAACAGTACCTCATTTCAATACTCTTTTGATATCAACCTTGTTTAAGCTGATATTGGACACTTGTATAAATGCTGAAAAAGAAAATTGTTTTCAGATAACACAGCTAATACACACTACTATCAATTGAGATTTTAGAATTTTCTTCAGGCCTGTAAAGTTACCATAACTTTCAGGAAGTGAGTTGTAATACTAAACAGACATCCTGTGTTTTAATCAGCTACCAAAGGGTTCTGTGTATTTCCTCTGTATCTTGATATTTCCCATACTGTCTTCTAGACATTTACTATGATACTGACAAGGAGAATTTGTTTAACAATCAAGAGCTTCTTTAGTTGGTGATCATTTCCTTTATTCTCATGGCCTTAATGAGTGATTCTGGGGTGATATTGTAATGAAAAATTAGATGCTAGTCTCACTTAGGTGTTAGTGTGTTAAGAGATTTATTTTGGTATATTAACTTTAACATTCTGTTTCATTATTAATCTACAGACAAATATATCACAATAAATATCAACTTAACCTTGAATTCAACCAAAAACAAGTCTTGGAACAAATCTTAAATTCAGAGATACTTCCTGTTGCCAACAAGAGTTTCAAATGGTTGCAAAATTTTATGGATAATCCAGTTTGATGTTATGGAAATGGAAATGTGACATTCCTTACACATTAATATGTTTTTACATCTGTCACCCAGCCTAAGTGACTTGAATGCCCCCTCCCCCTCCCGGAGGAAAAAAATTACTATTGCCACTGCTATTACTATCACTCCCCTACAAGAATCTGAAAAGTGTGGACCCACAGTAGAGGGCTGATAATGATATCTGGTTAATTACTTCCTATTATATGGCTGAACGTTTACAAGGAGAGATTACTGCAACAACTCGATGAAGAATTGATAATTGGGATTAATTTTAACTCTTTCAACTATTTTCCTTCCAATCTCTTCCTCAGATGATAAAGAAAGCAAGATAAATCTATTGAATTGGACTCCATATTACTGATATTAGGATAACGACGCGTTGGAACTTAAGTCCGCTAGAAGTGTTAGCCAGCTTTTTACATACCTTCTACAGTGATACTTTCTTTCCGTTAACTTAAATTTCTCCCGACAGCTTCCATCAGCACAGTGAGTACGTTCTAAACTGTTCACCCAATGTGCCCAAGACTTTCCGCCTTCGGCATTGGTTCCTCGTGCTCGTTCAAAAGATAACTTACCGTGCAACTCAGATCCTTCCATTGGGCATTAAGAGACTTTGATCCATAATAATTAGAACTTTTGTGGGCCATGATGCTATAGGAGAGACAAAGACAGTTGTAACACAGCTATCTGCGATGCTTAGATTAAATAACGTCATTTGAAGACTAAAAGGAGATGGCGTGACATAGCGTGACAACTCAACCAATTTTGGTATTCTTCAGCGACAATAATGTCTGCCGTGAGCTTTTTTATTTTCCTTGCTTCGACGATTCTCCACATATTCGTCACCTCCGCTGCATCTAGACCTAACATTTTATTTGTTTTGGTGGATGATCTTGGATGGAGTGATGTAGGCTTCCATGGTTCGAAAATTCAAACCCCAAATGTTGACAAGTTAGCTAAAGAAGGAGTAATTCTGGATAGTTACTACGTCCAACCAATTTGCTCTCCAACCAGAGGAGCATTGATGTCTGGAAGATACCCGATTCACCTTGGTTGGTGTGATTTCAGTTTGCTGTGGATTTTTGGCTAGTTTTAACACTATTGTTCCTAATCTAAAGCTGGGAGGGCGATATTTCCTTCAATTTCCCATTACTATTTTTCGAAAACATCATGTGACGACCACCACGCCACTTGCACCCAAGGGCTGGTCTGCAATAAATTCACCACCTGCTTAACTTTGTTTCTGCTCAACAAATGCTGATTTCAGCTTTCCAACTTGAAACAAACATAAGTACATGTATAGAAATCCTTGCATAAAGTGAATGATGTGACAGACAAACCGAAAGTTAAAAAAGGGTCTTTCCATTGAAACGTGACAATAATCATGCGCTATCATAAATATTAAATTTTCTTTTGGTATTTACATAGATTAGTTAAGTCCTTTGCAGTTTATAAATGAAGATTTAGATGGAAATGTATATTAGAAACTCTAGATATTCTTTCTTGCACAGGGAAGTATGTAAAATTGAGAGTTGATATGTCGTCATGTAATTTCTCCTTACTATGATTCATAGAATCAGTGCAGATGTAGTTAAGAGAATTAATATTGCAATGTAGAGGTAGAACAATTTATTTCTTTTCAGGAATGCAGCATGGAATTGTTCATACTGGGTGTCCGTTTGGTCTGCCGTTAAATATCACTACACTACCACAAAAGCTAAAGGAAGTTGGTAAGAATTTGTTCTGTATTTATGAATCCAACCTTCTCTTGAGAGTGTTATGTTAACAATTCTGTTCAAATTTAACTATAAGTGACCTAATAAATTTCAAATTCAAAACTGGGTTGTGTTTGATATATATAATTGTTAAGTGGTCAATAATTCATTTTATCCAGCTTATTGATGGCTTTGTCAACATATTTAATAGGTTGCAGAGTTGTTTGGAAGGTGAGGGGGTGTATGACACACTAGCCAAGCTAATCAGTTGGTGACAATGCACAACGAGGCACTTGTTGAAGAAAAAAACTTCTAAACCACATCATTTTGCTTAGCATCATCCCTTTGAAATAATTTGTAGAAAGGTTAACCAATTTTTTACCTCAACAGAGAAAATTTATGTCCCAGAACATAGAAGTGCTCTGCCTCCAAAATTTAAATTGATGATGTTTAAAGCCCTTCCCTCCTTCCCTCCCTGTCTCCCTGCTCTTCTACCTGTTGGCATATTTTGTTAAGCAAATTTCCCATTAAACACTAAAGGGTTGCTCTTCTTGTTGTTCTTGTTTTATTTTTAGGATATAGCACCCACATGATAGGCAAGTGGCATCTTGGTTTCTACAACTGGGACAGTACTCCTACCTACAGAGGCTTTGATACCTTTTATGGATTTTACAATGGTGCAGAGGATCATTACACGCATGTCCTTAGTCATTTTCTTGATTTCAGAGACAACAAAGAAATTGTTAGGGATATGAATGAGACATACTCTATTAATGCTTTTACAAAGGTGAATCATGTGTGTTTAAAAAGAATGCTAAAATGTTTGCAGTCAAAGATGCTTAAACATTCATAAGTTAGATGAAAAATTTTCAAGTCTGCTCAACAAAATCCATGCAATTATTTTGTCAAATTTGGATGGGTATGTGTTTGTTATGTTGCATCAGTGAACTTGCAGTAATCACTGCATTTCTATTTATTTTTGAAATGTTTGGTTTGATTGTTTATTCATGTGTAATTTCTGATTTTCTCTTCACACCATGAGTTGATCGATTTAAGATAAGTGCTACACTCGAGAAAGAAAGATCAGCATTTTTTTTATCTTTATCATTGTTAATTGCCTTTGTTATTGATCAACACTTTTTCAGCGAGCTGAGCATATTGTCAAATCACATGATGCATCAAATGGTCCTATTTTCCTTTACATGGCATTCCAAAATGTCCACTCTCCAGTCCAAGCTCCTAAGCAACATGTAGATAAGTACTCCTTTATAAACGACACAACAAGACGGACTTATGCTGGGATGGTGGATATCATGGATGAAGCAGTTGGTAATATAACAGGTGCTTTTAAAGAGGCAGGGTATGTGTATATTTCCTTGTTCTGTAAATAGAAAGCATTTCCAGCCATAATTCCCTTGACAAGCAAGGCCCTCAAAGGAGGGAACATTTGAATGATGGCAAGTATCTGCCAGAGGGGTATCACTTTCAAGCCCAGAGTTTATGGGATGTTACATGTTAAGGTACTGGAAAGGGTGAGGTAAGTTGTAGTGGATGTGTTTACAATGGTCCAGGGATAGGTTAAACTTGTTCTTGAAAGAATAACAAGCAAAACTTGCATAAAATTTTCAAGGCAAACCTTTGATTTGTCTTTGCTTGATGTTACAAGATGTTTTAGGGATGTGGTAACTACAGGGGATACCTTTAGGAGTATACAAATGGCAGACAGGCAGACTATCCACCTTATATTGGAGGGAAGTTAAATAAATATGATTTTAGTACTGGAAACCTACCTCAGGTGACAAGAAGATGAATATTTATTTACATCTTCATTCACTTAAGTATTATTTTTGGGGGGATAAATGATAAATTATGGATTTGTTGTTAATAAAAAAGCTAATGAAGCAGATATCACAGAATGATGAAAGAAGAATGAAGAATGACAAATGATAATTATAAAGTTAATTCACATTTTGTTGGTATACTAGGTTTTGAATTTACTTAATTTCCTGCTCTTTGAAGGTTATGGGATAACACCTTAATGATCTTCAGTACTGACAATGGAGGGGTGCCAAAAAATGGTGGATATGACTACCCCCTGAGAGGACGTAAGGACACTCTGTGGGAAGGAGGAATCAGAGGGGTGGGGTTCGTTCACGGAAAAATGCTGTCTAGGAGTGGGGTGAAATCTACTGGGCTGATTCATGTGACTGACTGGTACCCAACATTGGTTAATCTTGCTGGTAAGGACAAGTGCAGAGCGTGCGTGGGTGTGCTTATTGGAACAGCTTACTCTGTGCAATACAACTGTAGAAGTTTTACCCACCCCTTGGACGAAATATTTCGCGCGATGTGCTTTTAAATGGTAGTTTTCTTTGAACTACAAGTCAGTCTGATTCACAGCCGTTCTTTGGGATGTCATGTAGGGGAACTTGAGGGAGCTTTGTGTGACATCGAAAAGAACCGCTGAAAAGAGAGTAACTGACAGTATGCGTTTTATTTAAGTACGCGAAGTATTGTATGTGAATTACCTAACGTGAATTACTCAACGTGAATTACTCAACGTGAAGTGACTTTTCCGTATTTAGGTGGTCATCTTAATCACGAAGATCAGCCCCTCGACGGTTATGACGTTTGGAAAACCATTTCAAATGGCGAGGCCTCTCCACGTACAGAGATTCTTCACAATATAGACAGTCCCTCTTTCCCCGACAATGAACTCGGTTTTGCGTATCAAGGCATTGGTCTTCGTGTAGGAGACATGAAACTTCTGATGGGAGTTCCCAATATCTCGTACTTCATCCCTCCGGAAGAGAAGAATTTTTCTGAAGTGGACTCGCTGACCGACTTGCTACAGGATTTGAATGATGTGGGTGTGAGATATTGAGCATTTAACAAACTGAGCCTGTTGCAGGTCCATTTTTGGTCAAAAATACATGTAATTATCTAACAGTTCAAATCGTACAGTTGAACAGCCAGTGTAACTTTATCAGCATTTTTTAAGGTTTCCTTGAGCTGAGTCATAAACCTCTGTATTTCATATGTAAAACTTATCTTCCAGTGCCTCTTAATGTGACTGTATTTTTTGAGTCTGAATGATTTGTTGAACTGAATGACTGATTTCCTACCTTATCTTAGCCCCCGGTTCCAACCATCAATGTTGCGCTGTACAACGTCACCGCTGACCCGTATGAGAAGAATGACCTCAGCAAAAAATGCCCAGATAAGCTGAAGGAACTTCAAGATCGATTGGAGTATTACATGAAGGGTTTAGTGCCGCCTGCTAACAAGCCAAGTGACCCAAAGGCAAGGAGAGTAGCGAGGGAGAATGGGGCTTGGACTCCATGGATGTGAAAAGTCAAGCAAATGGAACGACAAGCACTAATAATTATGTACACGATCCTTACTCTGAACACAATAATTTTCAGTGCTCGAAGCAGAAGCGAGGCTTGATTTACAAACAATCATTTGATAAAAGTAAATTTGCATAAAATTTTTACGTGAAAAAAAACCCTTTATTATTTCACTAAGGAATTTCATTAAGGTTCTCTTTAGAGGTTGGTCCAATTTTCGTAGAGCATAGTCTATTGATCAGTGTACTTGTAATTCGGCCAATAGCACATAAAACACCAACTTGAATTGACAATTGTAAAGATGAGTTTTCTTTGACTAAGCTTCTTATGTCAAATAAAATATAGCAGTTTTCAAATTGCTTAAGAATCCAGCATTCAGCAAGAGGGACAAAACAAGACTAGAGGAAGGGAGGGGAGGCAAGGAGAAAATAAAAGACTAAACCGTTCATGTATGGTGCTGTTTTTTTGTGAATTTTCTTACTGATTGTTTATTGGTTAAGTTTAACCTCAGAAGAACTAGAGAACAGTTTTGATGTAAAATAAACTGTTTATTGGTCATGTTTACAGATCATTTTTCATTCAGTCATGGATTGGATTCGATGACTCGTCAACCCCAAGTTATATTTACAGATAAGCTACCTGTTCTCACTTCCATCCTAATTATCTTGTCCTCAGGACAACGCAGTGCATACCGTGGGAACGACATAAACACCTCGTTACCGCGTTGGGTGAGTCTGCCTGGTGCTGTATTTACAATCATTTTATTTTAACCAATTTCAATCGAGTGTCGAAAGTAATTCGGGATCGCTTTGTTTCTGCATTACTTTGCTCTGATTGGTCGGGAAAACTTGCGCCATTCTCTTAACCAATCAGATGTTAGACGAAAACCGAATGGCGACTCGATCACTCTCGTTTTACCGCGCTTCCAGAGAGACTTAGAGTTTTAGTCAGCCCCTCGTGATTCATGTTCTATTTGTTCTGACTGGCTCTCACAATAACTTCAGTTTTGGTTTTTCGACAATCAATCAAAACGTGCTCGATTTCAAAGGATTGCATATTTACATAACTTACAACAAAATCACAATTTACGAGTCCAGCATTTTAACATAACTAAGCACAAATGACAGAACTATAGAACTACAATCATTGATTTCAATAAATCCAAAGAGCTTGCAAAGTCAAAAATGTAAAAGTTGTTAATTCCACTTTTCTTTTCTCTTGTTATTAAGTTTACAGACTGATTTCACAGATAATACCCTTCACATTATATTCATATTGAGACCGATTACTTAGTTTGACCTGCTCTTTTGGCTTATGTCGTCATTAACAGCATTCATGTTAACGAGGAAATAATCCCTCGTCCAAAAGGAGAGTGTTTATTAAAATTAATTCCATCAGGAATTTTACCGCCGTGATCCATCCCTCTTCAAAATGACGGTAGAAAATGGAAGCCACGTTCATCTCGTGGTTGTGTGGTTTTTGTTTAACTCACCAGAAAAGCTCCAAAGTTGTCTTCTTGCATCCTTGAATTTGATCCTCCACAATTGGGAAATAACTCTTTAGGGTCTTCTTGGACCTTTCCCTTAGCTTTGAACACCACTTGAACAGACAATATAGTGTTCCTGGATATCTTTAGTAGTCGAGATATGTGAACAGTCCCAAAATATTTACCGCTGGTGTCAATTGAGGGTATTGGTGTGAAAGACATCGGCTTAGTCTCTCCTGTTCCATTGACATTTACAACTTTAACCTCGGTTATGTTCGCACTTACTCTGAGATTCAAATAAACTGAGTACCAGCCCTCTAGTTTAAAAAGGAGTTGGTCCCTGTGAGGTGACATGATTTTGTTGCTTATTAGTGGATCGTAGTTGCCCCAAGACAATAGAGTTTTTCGATTGCCTGAAAGAAGAAGGACATTTCGAATTGAACGACACCAGGAAAATCCTGATAGAAAATTGTGTGTCTTTTCCTAAGAGACTGGCTGTTATTTATCGCCCAAGGGGAAGTCTGAGGATTTTATTTGTGTCATGATAACATTTACCTGATTCCCCTTAAGGCTCTGTAATATTCGTATGACCTTTCTCCTGATTGGTATTTAATTGGCAGTCATTCTTTTAATTATATATTTTCTATAGTCCCTCTTTTCACTCTGTTAGCGACGTGTAAAGGATTTCTTATGTAAATGATTTCTTATGTTTAACTTCCGGTTCAAGCAAAAACGTATGCTCTCTAGAAATTAAAACTCATATTTACGCATTCAGACAAGGCAACACGATTATATCTCTGTCTTGGAAAACGAGTCATCATTATATTAATAGGATAAAGAAAAGAAATAAAAAAGAAATATACGAATCTCAATACAATCTTTCTTACATGAAGGCCTGAATATCAACTATATTACACATCCTGGATAATAGTACCTTGTTTCAACACTTTTGTGATATCGTCCTTGCTTAAGCCGACTGCAGACATATGTATAAATGCTGAAAAAAATTAGCGTTGTAAAAAGTTAGTGTCGTGCGTATTGGCTGATAACACAGCTAATGCATACTACTATCAATTGCGATTTTAAAGTATTTCTTAAGGCCTGCAAAGTTACTGCAACTTTCGGGAGGCGAGTCCCAAAACTAAACAGAGATTCTGTGTTCGAATCGGCTACCAAAGGGTTCTGTGCATTTCCTCTATATACTGGTATTTTTGTTAACTAAATACTTTATAGAGAGAGAGCGAGATTTAGTTTTTTCGGTCAAACCGATATCAAGGACTATTTTCCTAGCTGCTGAGTAAGAAAGTTCGCTTACGTACGTTGATGAAATCTGCCTAAAGATCATATCTTTTCTGTGCTAAGTGATGCGTTTGAACTCAAAATCGTCATGAGCTGAAGTGGTGTGCCTCTTTGTCATATTGCTTGCTGAAATGTATGGCTAAATTAAAGCTTCCATCGTCTTATAAAAAAAGAGATAACAACTTGTCTATGTACCTTCTGGTTGGCATTTCATAACCAAAGTGCAATTTAATCCTAAATTGAAAAAAAATATGAATATGTATTAGGAATCTGTTCTATATGATTAACATGCGGTGCGTGTGTTCAAGTTAGATTTTAAATCATTTTAATTATCTAAAATAAGCACCTCATAATTACTGAGTACATGTGGAGTGCATCACACATTAGTGATAATGCTTCGCTTCGTCTCTAAAAATCCTAATAATACACGACCGACCAAACACATCTATTAAACACATTATATATTTATTTTACGTTTCTTCACTGAGATCATGAGTGACATCAAACAGTAGCTGGGAATCATTCGGCTCTGTGCTTTAAGAGTTGTCTGATTTAACCCCATTTGAGCCCCCATTGGTAAGGAATGCATACCTTCTTCAGCAGTTTTATGGTGTTTTTTCTTGCAGTGCTTCAACAAATGGCAAGGGTGATCTGTATGACAAGAATGATACAATTTCATCGTTACAGTAGGATTCAAACGTTTGAACTCTGGGAATTGCAACGCGAAATTATTGTGGTACGTAATAGATATGTATTAAACCTTCTACATTTTTCATGTGGTTTATTTTACTCTAACTGACGATTAATATTTCTATGTTTATTTGGGTTGGGCAAAGAATAACACTGGATACAATCGATAGATACGTTAGTGTGATCAACATGTGCTTTTCCAAACAATGCAAATTGCACAGCGGACTGAGGTTCGATTACTCATGAGGACTCAGACTTTTTCGGTTAACTCACGCTCGTGACACGATAAACAAATACCTTTCTTTCACATCTTTCTCAACACGAAGATCGAGCTGAAAATACGCCAAACTGTCTCTATCTAACTCTTAGCAAATGGTTTTTCGTAGTTTTAGTGGATGGAACGAGAGGGACTTTCTTTGAATCTTCTTTGCGTTTACTTAGGAACACAGGATGTTTTCGAATGTTTTTTTTATTTTTTTTTTTAATTCATTTATCATTTATTGCTTTCAACAAATGTTCTGGTCGCGGCGAAAAACAGTCGTTTCCTTCCGTCTAAAGCAAAATCTTTCAACAAATGTTACCGCCAACTGAAATCGCGTTTCTAAAAGGAACATGTATGGATTCTAATGGCAGGAAGTTGATAATAGCTCGTGCAAAATCAAAGCTGGCTGCAAACCAACAACATTTAATATTATCCGATTCACATCAAATTTCAACATCGACTAGGCCTTCGGATCTTTAGTAATCTGTTTATAGGCCCAAAAATAAACCGACTTTCCGGTGTAATTCCCGGTGAGTACGGTATTCAAGAGGTCTTCTGAGCATGCTCAGCTATGACACTGGCGTTGTATTTCATTGATAGTGGTTTGTAGAGCGCTTTAACAGAAGTACTTAGACTCGACCACAGTGTTAATCTTTTTTTGTCTCACGGGACACGAATCTTCAAATGGCACTGGTAGTCAAAGAAACCCAACTTTCAGCTGAATTAGAAAATGGTTAACTAAATTTGTTCCACTCAGTATGCACTGGAAGTACATGAAAATATCACAGTGTTGAAGATCTTTACAAAAAAATCATTAACAATGTTTGTGCAAGGTTTTTTTTTTATCTTATTGTGACCTTATCCTTTCACCTAACACATGAAACCGAATAACTTGTTCGTAAACTCTGTTTCATTGAAAACACGGAAGTAGGACAAAACATGCAGCCATCTGCAATAGACTTTACATAATCACGTATTCTGTTATAAAAAGATATTCACTGTTAATGATCACGTTTACGGAGCATGCGTGAGAAGTAAATAGCTGAAAAAAGCTAAAAGATTTTTAATATGACAACGCGGATTTATTTTTGACCAAAGGTCGGAGACAGAGAACTACTTGTTGACTCGAACGTGAACTCACCGCCGTGCACTAATCAACCACTCACCGACATTCGAAATTAACATTATGCAAAACTAACTATATCATTACTTACGATTAGGATTCCTTCGCTGGCGGGAGATCTGCAAGATGCAAAACAAAAGAGTTGAATAAATCGTAGTTCGAATTTTATCGATGTCAAGAGACTTGATGATAACTTTTAGGATATACTTCAAGTTTGGGCAGTCACTCTGTTAGTTTGCCTGAAGAAAGGAAAGAGGCCCATGTTCGTTGAATATAGAAATCTGGAAACTTCTACTGCAAGTTCTCTAACTTTACCTCTGTGTTAAAGAGCTCTTCTCTTAAATTCTCGTTTTCTCCCTCTGTTTTAGCTACTTTGGAAGACAATTCCTCCACCATTTTTCTCAGCTCCTTCAATTCTGAGGATAACGAATGCTCTTTGAAATCTCTTCGGATCAAGACGTACGAGTGTATACCAAGAGCAACAAGAATAGCACCGAGCAAAATGCTGATCCATCGAAGAGATTTGCTTTGTTGGAGAGAGTCCTGTCGTAGTTCAATCATCGCGTTCCGTATTTCCTTGAAAATGACCCGTGGTGTCTGCTGCTTTTGACTTATATATCTCAAGGAAGCTGAAGAATTTCATTGAATTACGATACGTGCACCGATTGCTCTGCCGCATACAACATTGGACACGTGACCAATGTTTATTACGCCATCATTTTTGAGTCATGGTTTCATGAGGGCTGCGGACTCCATTTTGACATCTATTTTCACCGAAAGGCTACGATTTCTGAGAAGCCTAGAGCTACCTAAGTATTATTATGCAAAGTGGCTTAATGTTTACCTTTGACTCAGCTACCAAAGATAACAATGGAAGATCAAAACAATGTGTATATCAAACGTAAGACATTGTCAGCTTGTAGCTGTCACAGGCCATTTCATCGCACAGTGGATTTTTCTAGTAAACGGATTGAATCACGAAATTAAGGAAGGAAAAGAAATGCATGATTTCACATCAGCCAATTGCAACCTATTTAATTAGTACACAGAGCTCCTTATGCATATCATTACATGTATTCGAGCTTTGAGTTGCCACGTTAGAGATCATTTCAAAGTCGTAGAAAGCAAGAAACCTTCAGTATATAGGACCAACGCGTTCAGATTAATCACACCAGCTTAATGGTTCCAAAGAAGAGTTCGTATCCGACCTTGTCGATTAGCGCTGTCAACCGTGAAAAATTTCGACCAGAATGGATTGCAGGATTGTGGACGGAGAACCAATTCCACACAAGATCAATTCAAAACTTCGCATGCAAACTACATTTCAAACTAGATAAGGATTTAGCTATGAGTTGAAGTTTTAAGCCAGAGTGAGATATTTGAATTTTCATGATACTAAACTGAACTGGCGGAAACCGTAGATGAGATAACGCGTGCGCACTCGCAAACTTTTCATTATTTCTTAGAAACCAATGATTGATGAAAGGTATCAACCTTGATAATGGGAATTGCGTTAAAAAAATATTTTTTAAAGCACATGAAATCGTTTTCTTTCTATCAACAGCCGATTTTTCAAAACAATACTTGGAAAGTGCATTCAAAGCTGACTGAAAGGACATTTTCTACAGCACAGCGTTGTTGTGTAATGTAAACTCTTTGTAAGATAAATCATTCAAGACCCTAGCTCAGCTCCTGTGAAACCTGTCAAATCTGTAGCATACAAATGGAATAAATTCTAGCTGTTGGAAAGAGAAAAACACAATAACAGAAGAAAAACTTTAAGCTTTGATTGCGTGAGCAACAGCCCGGAAATGGCCAAATTCTACAAATCGCTTAGTCGTTCGCTTTTAGCTTGTAGGAACGTTTCATCGCATGGTACTCGACGGGTTCCGGATGTAGTTGGTTTCTTTTTTTACTTCGAATGTCCTAAAACGTAGGAAATTTAATAAGTTATATCATATCATGATGAAAGAAGTGCTTACCTTTGGTCCTGCTCATGAATGAATTACTATGATTCTGAGAAACTCAACCAAGCGGTGACATGCGACTGCCCTTATTTTTAGTTCTTTAAACTCACTTTTATCTTTAACCACAGTTTCCAAAGAACATTTTAACAACCTCAAAAGAAAAAAGAGACAACCATAACTTAAATTGTACAGATGCTAAATTTGCCTCTTTAAACACATCGAGAAAACGCTTAGCCCTTCAAAGGGTGTAATGGTAAAGAGATGAACGGAACGAGGAATAGAGAGTGAAAGTGGTTTCTCTATTCAAATAAACGTCACAATAAAATTGTACGAACCAATCAATGCGCGACGTTTAATTAATTCGAAAGATTTCAGTCCAGTTCAGCGGGTAAGACAGGATCACAATACAGTGTGAATGCTCTAAATAGTCCACCGTCAAACTCTTAATTCTCCTGACAGTTTGCCAGAGCTTTTGATATCACTTCTGAGATTTTGCTGCTTCGATTCAAAATTGGCAAATTCTTGAAGTTTCAATCTCATCAGGGGTTTGTAGTACACTGTGGAGAGAAATCAGAAGATGACGGAAGACTGACTCACACTTCCTGTATCTCTGATATTCAAAATTGGCAAATTCTTGAAGTTTCAATCTCATCAGGAGTTTGTAGTACACTGTGGAGAGAAATCAGAAGATGAGTGAAGACTGACTTACACTTCCTGTATCTCTGATATCGAACGTAACTGCATGAAATGTTTTTGTTTTTGCCTTTTTTTTAGTTATAATCTGCATGAATTGACTCAACACTCATCCGTTGGTCTGAAAAGATTAATTTCTCATACTAGTCATTTGTGATCAAATCTGCCGGGGTGGAACAAAGAGCTCCCGTGTTAGGGTGAGCTTCAAGCCCCATGAAAGGTCGAAGCCTAGTTTCTTAAGCACAACTTTATACAAATTTTAGGGGACCAATGCCTTCGCCCAGGCGGAAATAACCTGAATTTGTGTCTCAGAATGTGTCAGCGAATTGAACTAAATGTCATTTCGATCTTATATGTGTGTTAAGCCATGCATGCAAACGTCTAGTTAGTGTTAACAACTGAGTTGAAAACGTAAATTGGCCGCCGTAAAGAGTAAAAAAGCCGACGTTTCGAGCGTTAGCCCTTCGTCAGAGCGATTAGAGGAATTGTGGGTTGTGTGTGTTTATATGAAGACGTTTATATAACGTCTAGTTAGTTCCAAATGTGGTCTAATGGACAAATCTATGCGATTGATTCCCACTTTTTTCTTTAGTCGGTGTCGGCCACGTCATTGGTTTCTTCCAAAGTCAAATGAAGAGATTTATTTTCTATCAATATCGAAATGAAAATTATATTCTGTCTCTTGAATAAGACCGGGCGCCTAAAATACCTATTTCCGCACTTGAATTCGATCTTTCATTCAAACCTTTCGTACCCTTTTTCTCCACGTCGATCTCAACGCATCGCTTTTTGGTTCAAACGTTCCTATTCTTTCAACAAATTAATGATTTTCTTTGAACTGTGGAGCTGAAAATCCCGCTGAAAGCCGGCAAGTTTAAAAAATTTTGCTTACAAATAATCTCCAGCCCCTTGATGGACCCAGTACCCCTCGGATAAAATAATAATTGACCATCAACTGGTTGGGGAATCCCCCACCCAAGTTAGAGGAATGTACTTTGTCAGCACATATGTATTTCGTCTTCTCGTACACGAGGTAAAAAGGGCTAATTTACCTTAATTTCTGACAAAAGGACATGAATGCTGAAGTGTTTTCAAGGTAAGATATGTTTATGAATCTTAATGCGGTGTACATATAAGTGTTCTGGGCGGAAACTCTTATCAGTCACGAACAAACTTCGCTAGGTTCGACTGTCTCAAACGTCCGGTCCTCATTTAACGGTCTCTATTTCGTTTTAGGCTTTTACAGCAAACTCTCGGGCTGTCTTAAGATAGATAATTTATTTCGTCGAACTCTTACATATTTGCACGGTTGTTCGATTAGAAAAACATAATACTTCACGAATTATTCTTTTTTTTTGCATTTATCGTCGATAAAAACTCTTAACAGTTGCCTTCGTTTCGTTCGATTTGTTATTACAAATACGGTTGTGATTATCATTGACCATCGAATTGTTTATAAAATTGTTGTCTTCCAAGACGTGAAAACCGTTTGCCATAGAAACACTGTCTAGTCTATTTAAAAGCAAAATTTTAGCGATCTCAGCACCATCTTTCCGCAAAAGATCACAAGAGACATTATTATGCTAACGTAAGCTTTAATTTCTGCGTGACAAACAACTCGATATTGCTTGCAAGTCTACAATCGATTGTAATCGCAGTAAAGTTATTTATGAACGTGCTGATTATTGTTTAAGAAGTTCAACTCCATGTTCAAAAGGGAATTGAATCATACTTTCCGTTCTCAACCTCAAACATGCAGATTGAAAATGAGTAAATTACCGAAATGCTGATTTTACAAAGATTTTAGGACGAAAGAAGGCGTTTAAATGAGAAATATAATCCTCCTTTGTTTGAGCTCAAGAGAGAGTAAAAATCGTCAAACATTACACAAACATCAAAGGAAGAAGAGTGAAAAAAGTAATGTGGAAGAGAGAAGGGACGAACATTCTCATCGCTCGAAAACGTGCGGAAATGACTTCTACTCTGACAGGGTATGAACCCCCTGCCTTCAAATTGCGATAGAGCTTTTTCTTAAGCAAAAATAAAATGGTTTATCCTTCTGTTGCATGCAAATATAAACACATAGTATCTCTCGCCCAGAGAGACAGAAAAATCAGAGAAAAAATGAGATGTATTTTCGTTAGAGCAATGAGAACTGAAAGCACACATGCTAAATTATGCAACACGACACATTCCCCGGCTCTTACGCAAGTTCTGCTTCTGTAATTTTCCTGGTCTTGAAGAACAACGGAGCCCGCAACATTCCTTGAATTTTTTTTACATGGACAACCGACGTATACGTATTCTTGTGGGTAACCTCAACCTTAAATTTTCTCACCTCAATTAATTTGCTTCTAATGATAGTGAACAGAAAACGAAACACTAGGTCATACTCTGTTATGCCTAGCGTGACAAGTGAAGGCACACACCCTTGTAAAACTTGTGATGGTAGGCATTTACATGTGTTTATTTACAACAGAATTCTAATTAGTGTGCAATCATCCGAATGACGGTTATCAAAACCGACAGGTGTCCTCTATTCTATATTGACAAAACCCTCATTTAAAACCAATTTAAGTTTTTGCAAGATATACCAACACCAAAACTTACAACTGATTCTGCAAGATTTTCCCTCAAAAATATATAATTATATTGTATATAATTATATATGTGTATATAATTCCTTGCAATTTACTAGGCACCTTACGCATACTTCGATAATTTTAAAACATTATTAAGGTCCCGTGTTTCTTTTGGCAGACGTATAACTTATTCACTGTAAGGGTCACAAGCATTGTGCGTTACTGTAAATACAGACAACGAAGATGACCTTAAAGTTGGATGACCTCAAGAACAACAATACTAAAAACATTGACGCATACCCTTGATGTGACTCACACACAACCTTCCTCAGGCCCTCCCCGTCGCCTTTCCACCTCCTCACGAGGGGTGGGAAGGGGAGATGCTATTAACGTTTGCATCACGCAACTGAACGATTACACGTGCACTGTATACGTCCGCCAAAATAAATACGGTCATGTTTTAAAGACATAAAACTATTGTAATAATTTCTTATTTTTGTACATTGTGATAACTGCAGAACGTAACATGCGAGAAGTAACCTGAAAATCGAAATTCAGTTGTTAAAGACCACCGAAACTTTTTTT